CCCCATCACTGATATTTATAGAGCCCTGTGAGGCAGCTGCTTACATATGCAAAGGAGCCACATTCCTTGAGCTACACTTTACTGGTCTCTTTCTTGAAATACAAACTTAGTTAGCAGTCTCCGAGGGCCCCCTGCCTTGTTTCTTTTTGTAGAAATGAAATTTTGGTGAGAGCTGGCAGCTCCCTAGAACGGGGAAGGAGCTCTACATTTGCTTCTCAGGACAGCAGCCACCCACGGGGCACGGGACATGCAGGTTTGCGAGGGTCTGTACTCCCCCCACAGAGACTGAGAAAGTACAACAGAGCTGGGGGACTGGGAGGTGTGGCTTAGATAGGAACCTGGACTTGTGCCCCTGGGAGACTCAGAACTAGGTACAGCTCCGAAGAGTTTAGGGGAGGAGAGCGCCTGCCCAGGGGCCACCTCCCTCCACGGCCCGCAGCAAGGAAGGCCTCTGGGACTCAGTCAATATGCATCCACTATGAAAACCAAAAATAAAGGTCTAGATTTTTCCTGTCTTGGGTTTTTTTGTGCCCTGGTAGCTCACAAAAACCCGGGAAGCCACCCTCCTGGCCTGCTCAGAGACCTCAAGGAGCTCTGGACACAGGGCACAGTCACGGGGCTGGCTTGTCTTCAGAGTACCTGGCACCTGTCTGGGCACCTTCTAGCTTGGTGGTGGGGTCCTGGCTCGCCCCTCCAACCAGCTTCTGGAGGGGCCTCCCAGGACCCAGAGGGTGGGAGGTGTGGCCTCTGGGCAGGCCTCTCCCAGTGGCCAGCGGGGAGCGAGCACAGTGCAGGGAAGGTGCTGCTGTCTCTTTAAGAGAGAGGAGGGAAGACACCGTGTCAAGCCGAGAGCACCCTGAACAGCCCGCCCAGCACTATCTGGAACATTATCAATGAAACCACACTCTGCGCCCAGATTGGTTCCCACTTCCAGGGGGAAGGGGTGGCATGGAGGGGAGGGGTGCCCTGGAGGGCTCTCTTTTTAATCGAGGGACCCATTCTTTATGCATTTAAAGGCATCCAGCGGCTCTCCCTCAGCTCACCCCCCCCCCACAACAAATAAACAAAGGCAGACTCCTCCCCTCACACCGAGGAAACACTGGGGACTGTCTAAACCCCGGCCACCACCGGGGCTGTGAGGGGGCCCTCTGGGGGTGTCAGCGGTGGGGAAGCCTCCGGGGGGTCCCTAGGGGTACAGTGGCCAAGGACCGCACATTTGGTAAATTATAGCTTGTCTCCTAGCAACAGACAACACATTTAGCTCCATGTGATTCTACCCTCAGGAGGGGGCCAAAAAAAAAAAAAAAAAGATTGTAGTGGGGCACCCAAGGAAAAGTGAGGGGGTCCTCAACACTGCCGGAGGGGCTCGGGGAGGAGCAGGGGCCACACTGGAGGCTCCTGATGCCCTGGGCCGGCCTCCACTCACCTTTGGTGTCCAGCTCCACGTGGATGATATTGCCCATGACCGAAGTGCTATGCAAGTGCTGAACCGCCTCCTTGGCTCCCCTGACCGTGGCAAAAACCACCTTGGCAATGCCCAAGTGCTTCTTGGTCTTGGGGTTGTACAAAATCTCCACCTCCTCCACCTCCCCATACTTCTTGCACATGTCCCTCAGGAAGTTTTCGCGGATGTTATCATTCAGCTTGGCGAATGTCACCTGCTTCGGAGGCACTGGGCCCACGTAGAACTCATCGATCTGGCAGGAGAGGAGGGGGAAGGGAGTTGGGAGAACATGGAAATTGAAGGGAAAACACAACATTCCCCACTCGTCTGCCGGTAGGAAACAATGAAGGGTAAAAAAAATTTTTTTAATTTTTTTGGAAAGAAAATGTACGCGGGCGGGCCCGGGAAGCGGAAGATTAAATCGTTTGGAACGTGGAAGTCCTCCGGGTTCGAAAGGAAAGGGGAAAAAGAAACAGTTTCTCTTTCCCTATAACCCCATTCCGGCCTCCTCTCCCTGCTGCCGGGTCTGGGGCGACCCCTTGGGCTAGGAAGTTGTCCCCCTAAAGACACAAGCCTGGGGAGGGGGGCGGGTCCCTCGGGCCAAACCCCCCGGCCTCGCAGGAGCCAGGTGGGGACCCAGAGCCCCCAGCTGGGCGGGCAGGACACAGTATCAGCGCCTTGATTACAGTTGCAGCGCAGTGTTACTCTGTTTACAGCAGCTCGGAGGGGACGCCCCTCTCGCAGCAAGCTCCCCCTCCCCGCCAAAACTTCCCCGTCCGGGACGGCGGGAACTCAGAATCTGGCTGGGCTCGGTCTGGACTGGCGTTATTTTCGAACTCCGGGAGGGGGAGGAGGGACCGCGGGGGCAGGGGGGAGGGGTCCTACCTTGAATTTGGGCACCGACAGCTCGAGCTCCTTGTTTTTGGTCCAGATCCCGACCACCCGTGGATCTTCGACAATTTCCACCGGGCGGTTGCTGGACATCTGTGGGGAGACATGGGGGGGGGGAGATGGGAGGGTTGGTCCCACTACTCCCCAGGGGCTGGGGCAGGACCCCCTTCTCCGGGCACTTGTCAAACTCTAGGGTTGGGCCAAGCCGGCTGACAGTTGGCCGGGTGGTCGGGACGGGGGTCCCCGGGCGGTTCGGACCCGGCTCCCCGGGCACGGCTGGGGGGGAGTGGGGGCGGCGGGGAGGCGCGCCGGCCACTCACCGCCAAGCTGAAATGCTGCCCATCGTAGCGGTACAGTTTATGGTGTCCCTTCTTCAGAGCCGGGTCAATCATCAACTTGTAACTTCTCCAATGGTGGTTCCTCCTCTCGCCCGAAGGGCCGGGCTGCGGCGGGGGCTGCTGGTGGTGGTGGTGGGGGTGACTGTTCTCCATGCCGCTAACCCAACCTGGAAACGAGCAAGTTGTTGTCGCCTCCGCCGCCGCGGCGGCCGCTTCCACACACACGCGAAAGAACCAAATCGTCCAGCCCCCACCCCCTCCCACCTTACCAGCGCGCCCCAAAAGGCGCTGTCTCGCTGGCTCCCCCCAAAATAAGAATGGAGCGAGAGAATAACCCTTCCGGGAGAATTAGAAGCCCGCCCGCTCGGCCACCGTCTCGGGGCGGCAGCAGGGGGCTCCCGGGGGCCCCCGGTGCGGGCTGGCGGGGCCCGGGCCGCCGGGAGGACGCGGGCTCCGGCCCATGGTGCCCGCCCGGCCGCCCGGCCGCCCGGCGTGGCGCGCGCTCGCTCGCTCGGCCCGGCTCGGGCGCGGGGCTCGCGGCAGGCCCGGCGCCGCCCGCCCGCCCGGCCGGGGCCCCGGGGCCGGGGGCTCAGGCCGCCCGGGTGCCGGCCGCGGCCTCTCCCTCCCCGGGCCGCGCTTACATCCCCGCCGGGCGCCGGCCTCCCTGCGCCGCCAGCCAGTACATGGTGTCCCCCGCGGGAGCCGAGGCCGGGGCTGCCGGACGGGGGGCCGGGACGGGGGGGCACCGCCGCGGCTGCCGGGCCCAGAGCTGCTGCCGCCGCCGCTGCTGCTGCTGCTGCCCGGGAGGCGGCTGGCGGCGGAGGCTCGGCTCCCAGTAGCCGCACATCCCACAATACACCGCTAAGGAGCCCGACCCGAGCGCTCACCCTCCTCCTCTTCCTCCTCCTCCTCTTCCTCCTCCCCTCGCCTTCCTCGCCGCTTCCCCAGGCACTCTCCCGGCGGCGGCAGCTGCGCCGCCAAAGCCCCGGGCCCCAGCGGCCCCCCACCCCTCACTCGCGCGCTCCCACACTGCCTCCCCCCTCCCCAGGGGGAGGCCTTTTAATTTATTTATTCTGCTGGGACCTGGGTGGGGGTCTTGGCGGGCGGGGGCGGGGGTCTCCCCGGGCTCTACCTCCCGCGGCCGAGGCTACCCTGCGAGCCGCGGCCTGAGCCTCGGGCCTCCACAACTGTTTCCAAACTGCCGAGGCCGGAGGTGGGCGCGCGGGGGCCCGAGGGACAGGCCCGGGGATTTGGGGTTTAATTGTGTGTCTGGACGCTCGGGCCGCGGGCGCAGGCAGAGACGGCCCCGGGCGAGTTGCAATCGAGGTATCACCGCGCCGGCTTCCTCTTCGGCCCCGCGACCCCCTCCCCCCGCCCCGGGGGCAGAGCTAGGGAGGGGAAGCCAGGATTTTAACCACATTAGCATTCACATTCCTGGGAGGATGCAGCGCTCGCCTGGACCTGGCTGATAGAAGCCTCTTGCACTGTTTTTATTTTGGGCCAGCAGCGCCCTGTAATTGTCCAGAACACATGGTTGTCTCCCCCCCCCCCACCCTCTTCTTCCTCCACCACCAGCAGAGGAGAGAGAGACAGAAAGAGGAGAGAGAGTCCCCCTTTTTTTTTTTTTTGCATTTATCTTTTCCTTCCCCTTTCTTTATTAAAGGTCCGGGGAGTGGCGGCGGCCAATCAGCGCGCGGCTTCCATCTTGCGAGTTCAACTGCGAGGCTCCCGGGCCGGGCGAGGACGCGCGAGCAGCCCCCTCTCGCCTCCCGGGCCGGGGCGGCCGCGGCGGGCCGGCGTCTCGCCGGGGCTCTCGTGGTGCCGAGTGTCATATTGGGGCTCTTTTCGGGGTTTGCCGTGGGGCCGTGGGGAGGTAATTGGCTGGAGCCGGGCGGCCGGGCGCGGCGGCCAATCAGCGCGCGGCTTCTATCGGGCTTGAGTTATTAGACGCCGATCTGCAAACATCCTTCATCAGACACCAAGGAGAGGCCAACAGATGAGGGGAGCCATTTTTCTGCAATGGAATTAAATGGCCAAGTGGGTTTTTCCTTTGTTGCAAATGGGGAATGTTCTTCCTTTGGCTCCTCCACCATCCCGTTCAGGACGCTTCACTGTTGTGTTGTAACAAGGGGTCACCAGGCTTAAAGGATTCACAGTTGGAAGAAAGAAGAAGACTCTGTTTTTATTTTTATTTTTTTTAAAAAAAACCCTGGATTTTTCCTTTATGACTTGGAATCCATCTTTGTCTTATATAACTAGGTCATAGCACACTGTTAATGTCAGCAGTTAACAATTTTGAATTCCAAAAAAAAAAAACCTAAGTAAATGACATTTAATTTTTTTTTTCAACTTGGGTGAGTGGGGGTGGGGGGAAGCTTGGAGCTGTCTTAATCTGTATTCTCTTGACTGAACAATAAATTTTTAAATATGTATAGTTTCCTCTATTAAACACTTAAACCTGGCCATCTTATTAACTCCTTCTGCTCTCTCTTTTTCTTAACAAGGTAATGTTTTAAATGTATAGTTTTAGGACTAGCGAAATGGCAGCAACAACAACTTGTAAGCAGTTCTTACTCCTTTTTAAAGTTTTTTTAAAAACCTTGTTCATTGTAAGTAGCCAATCCATTGTCCTTACCAGTGTAGTTTTCATGTTAATGTTGCTGAGATGTCCTTTATTTTTCCGAACCTTCATCTGCATGTCTGTCTTTGTCGCTCTTGTCTAACATAAGCCAGTAAAAATGCTCGTAGACGATTTTTTGCTTTTATAAAGCCAAGGCTTTAGCTTTTAAGCTTTTGAGAATGTGTACAGCAGTGAATGCTAGTCAGCTTTCTTCCCAGAAAACAGGTACACTTTCTTTGAAAATCGATCTACTTGAAGAAAAACAGTTCTTGTTTTTCTTCTGGTCTCGCTAGAGGAGTGGGTGAGGGGAAAAGGAAGACCTCTTTGTGTCAAACAGACGAAAAGCCGTCACAGGAAACTAGATTAAAACTGGAAAACAAGTCCTGGCTGGTTTGAGCCAAACACCAACGTTCACTTGCGGGTATTTTTCGATGGTGGTTGGGGTGGCCGCGTGTCTCTTTTGCCTTTTGTTTGATTTGACTGTGTCTTTTCGCCTTTTGTCTCTTAATGACGGTCCCACCATTGCCATGTCCAGAGCAGTACACGGCCCTCAGCGAAGCCGCCTTTTGCCAACCCAACCCTGGAAAGTTCACAGAAGTGGAAGGACAGAAAATGCCATGAGAGTGTAACTTACAAAAAAGGTAACAACTACAAAAAAGGCACCACCGTCTCCCCCAAAACCCCCAACTAAACAAATCTTCCCCCCACCCCGAGATATTTTTTTCCAATAACACCTCCCAATCCTCCGCCCAGTCTGATCTTCCAGACTCCATGGCATCTGGCCGAGCGGGTAAGTTGAAGAGACAAACAAACAAAAAAAAATGCCTTTTGCCCCTTCGAGGAACTGTTTATTCCGAGCAGGCCAAGGGCTGCAGATGTGTGGGAGCTGAGGGGAGAAGGAGGTTTCTGGAGCTTTGAGTTTGGGAGCCGGACCCGGGCGGGGTGGGGGCCGAGGAGGGATCTTCGGACCCCTCAGCCCAGGTCGGGAGGAGAGGCTGGCTCCCCAGCGGCCTCGGGCGCCCGAGTCGCCGCCTGCCCCTCGCCCTCCTCGGTCTGAGCCTCGGCGGGGAGGGGGAGTGGAAGTGCTTTGTGGATGGGGTGGGGGGCACGAAGGACGAGGAGACGCGCCCGCCGGGCCGCAGGCCCCTCTCGCTGGGGCTGTGGGGTCTGGCGCCCCGGCGCCCGCTCGGCCGGCTCCGGCCGCGCCTGCGCCTCCGCGGCAACAAAGGACAAAGGCCGGCGTCCATGTTAGCACCGTGACGCAGCAACTCTTCCCGCCTGCAGCCCTGGCGTCGCCGGTTCCCCCGGCCGCGCGCGCGCCTCCCTCCCAAACACGAGTTTTATTTTCAGGTTCAGAGAAGGGCTGGGGCCGGGACTGGGGCCGGGCGGCTTGTGGCCGCCGCTCCCCGCGCCCTTCCCTCCTTCCCCGGTTGTCGTTGGGCGCCCGGAGCAGGGAGCGGCCCCGCGGCCCGGCCGGGCCCCGAGCGCCCCGTGCCACGGGCCGGTCGCGGAGGCCGTTTCGGGGGCCCTGGGGTCTGGGGGCGTCGCGCGCTGGGGCTCCCGCGCTCGCCTCCGCGAGGCGAGGCGAACAGACCGGCGCCATTTCGTGCGCCGCCCGCGGCTGGGGCGGTGGCGGCGGCCGAGCGCCAGGCGGGAGGAGGGAGGGAGGAGGGGAAGCTGGGGGAGGGGAGGCCGGCGCCCGGTCGCCCACGCTCCAGGCCGCCGCCCGCGTGGACGCCCCTGGCCCGTAGGCCTCGACGTCGAGTCTGGGCTGCACTGCTGGCTGGGACCTGTCACCCAAGTCGGGGGGGGCCCCCGCGGGCAGCAGGAGGCCTGGCTGCCCTCCCTCCCGCGCAGGAGCCAGTAGCAAAGGGCCGCGTAGCTGAACTGGGCCTGGAGGCTGCCCTCCGGCCCCAGGCTGTACACGAGTTTTCGTTTTGCACGTTGGGCTCGCAACAGCCCTTTAATAGTGGAGCCCCAGGTGCTGGGGGCCCCATGTCCTCAGTTTGGGCCGGAGGCCCTAGCAGAAGCCACCGACGCCCGAGCTGGTTGTCTAGGGCACGCCCTCCAAATGGGCTCTAGAGGCTAAGGTGGGGGTTGAGGCCTGCGAAGACTGCGAGGGGCCTCCCGCCCCCGGGCAGAGGGCTCGAGGGGGAAACCTCTCACATCTCTGGCCCTTGCTGGGGGAAGGAATGCGGACGGGGCGGACCTTTGGAAATGCAGATGAGTCGCCTGCTGCTGATTTTCGCTTGGGCTGAACCTTGGTGACTCAGCCACCCCCGCTCTGAACCATTCCAGAGTGAGGGCGCCTTGGCAGCTAGAATAGGGGGGGAGGCAGTTGTAAGAATCCCCTTCCGTTCCGGAGATCCTATCTGGTTTGTGGCCATTACCTCCCTAACTCTCCGGCTTCTCCCTCCCACCCCCAGGCTTCTGGCCAGAGAAGGGGCAACACGTCGGTCCCCCCAGAGTGGACCGTCCTCCTCCGAACAGCAGGAACAGGCCTAGTTTGGCTCTGACAGTCCTCCCAGTAAGGTAGGCGTGAGGCCTTTCCCAATCTGTAAGGGGGATTTGGGGGGCTTTGGCCTGGAGCCCTGGGAGGGCGGACACCTCCAACTCGTTAAGCTGGTTCTGCAGCCCCTCCCCCACACAGATGTGCAGGGGTGTGTGTGTGTGTGTGTGTGTGTGTGTGTGTGTGTGTGTGTGTGTGTGTGTGAAATCGGCGGCCTGCCGGGCCCATCCATCCCTGCCTGTCAGCCTCTGTTGTCAGAGTTTGGGGCGTGCAGTTCTCTGCCTATTTAGTAGCGCTGGAGAGGCCGGCAGTGCTGGCAGTGCTGGCGAGCGTTTCCCAGCGGTGTTTCGTGGTGGGGGATGGGTCCTGGATGCCTCTGAAGGACACCTCGGCTGCCAGGAAGCCCAGCCCTTCTCTGGCCCTTCCTTCCTGCCCCCAGTGTCCGCCAGTGGGGTGAATGGTTGAGCGAGGGCCCTTCCCCTCCTGTGTCTGGTTGCTGGGGAGGTGAAGCACGGGGCCTGAGGTCTGGGCCAGCTTCCTCTGAGAGGCTTCTTGCCTCTTCTGCTTCCTGGGAATTCCCACGATTACCTCCCCACCCCCCACACCGAAACCAGCCGTAGCTGGAGTAGCGCACAGCGGCTGCCGTTTGCCTGCCGCGACCTCGCCAGGGTGGCCAGCGGGGCTGGGTCAGTGTTTCTCAGGCAAGTGTGCTGCTGAGTCACTGCAGAACTCATTCCCAGCGACCCTGGAGTTCCTGGTTCAGTTGGTGGGGCCCGAGAAGGCGCGTTTCCGACAAAGCCCCAGGTGGTGCTGATGAGAGAGCCCAGTGCTTGGCACAGGGTCGTTGGCCTCTAATAATGGCAACTCTCTGTTCCTTCTGACACAAGCGGTGCCGCAGTGTCCCGGTCTCTTTGTCTCCGGGAAGCTCCACAGCTGGACACCGTGTGGCCCTTGATCTCCCAGCCTCCACCCCATGTGGTCTCTAGTACGTGATGACTTTGATGAGCCATTTGGGTTCAGGTGCCACATTTGAGCTGCCTCCCCCGTTTGGCTCGCAGCTTGGCTTCCGTATCAGGTCAGCCCTGCCTGCTGTCACGCCACTCAAGCTGAGGTGTGTGGGGGGGGGCTGCTGCAGGACTTGCCCCTGACGTTTTCTTTGCAGGCGTCTTGGTGCTTAATCAGGGGAGGGTCTGAGGCAGGTGTCTGTGGGCTTGAGGCTCCCAGGTGCCAGTGACCTTGGGCAAGTCTCCGTGTAAAATGATAGCGTTGTACGCTGTCACTGTTGGGAGGATTAACTGTGAGGAAGGGGGCCAGCGGCGTGTTCAGGCTTCACACTGGTTAGCCTCCATTCCAACTGGAGGCTGGGCCGCTTTCCAGCTCCTCCCCTATCAGCCCACCCCGAGCACGTGGCTGAGCCTCAGGGCTGGGGCTCCCTGAAGGAAGGCAGGAGGCAGCGTCATTCTAACTCCCATGTCGTCTGAGTCTGGCTGGTGGCCTGCCCTCTGCTCTGTGAACACTCAGGATTTGGGGTCACACGCCCACCCCTCCCTCCAGCATATAAATGACTCACCCAAGGTCATGAGGCCACCACCCTCGGCCAGGACTGGGTTCCAGGTGTCTTGATGAACAGCCCAGCGTCCGTGTCCGAGGCACCCCCTCGCCCCAGCTGTCTGGGTTATTTCGGGTGCCCTCCCGTGCCAGCTGTCTGCTGGCATCGCCCCCAGGAGCCGGGGAAGCTGTCTGGCTGCGAGTAACCTGAGTGCTGCTCTGGGCTCCTTGTGGCTCCTTCTGGCTCCCGTGCTTTAGACTCTCCCGTCCCAGATTAGCTGGGTGAGGTCCATCTTGTCCTTTTCTGGGGGGCAAGGGGGTGCACCCCACCACACCCCTTTGTAAAAGTTGGTGCGCCTCTTTCCTCCTTCCACAGATCTCAGGTTTCAGTTCAACTGTGCTGTTGAGGAGCCCATTCAAATCTCCTAACTCCTCACCTCACTGGCCGCCTGAGGGTGTCCTGTGACCCTTTGGATAGGGCCCTTGTGGCCGCAGAGGCAGAGATCTTGACCTGCCATGGCTGCAGATGGTTCGATAATTCACTGAAACCCTCCCCTTTTGACTGCTGCCTGCGGGGCCGCAGCCAGTTCTTCCACTCTTGCCCTGGGAGCAATTAGGAAGCAATTAGGTGCTGAACTGTGTGGTCTGGGCGAGATTCTTGGGAGAGGTGTCCCGGTGACCTGACCTGGAAGCTCGCCTTCAGCCTATGCGCTCCCTGCTTCCATTTTTCTCTTACCCCTTCTTTTTTCTTTGTGCCCCCCACCCCCAACCTCATCACCTCCAGGGCTAGGGAGGGGTTGTCATTCCTTCTAGCCCAGAGGGCGGCCCCGCCCACCGGTCACCCAGGGGGCGAGGGGCGGGGCAATCCTGGCCTGGAGCCTGCCTGGAGAGGGCCACGCCAGCGGAAGGGCAGCTGGCTGGCCGGACTTGCTTTACCACTGGACACCAGAGTCCCGCCTCTTCCGGCCCAGCCACCGAGAGGGAGAGCCCCAGCATGGAATACGACCTTTTGGACCCTCTGGGTGGAGATGCAGTCGCGTGGACTATGGAGAGAGGCAGGCACCCTGCCATCTCAAGGCTGTGTGGGTCCACTGATGTCTCCACCTGGCCGGTGACCTTAGCAGGCCTCTGCCCCTCTGGGAGCATGGGTCTTCATTGGTGACCCACGAGGAGGAAGTTGGCAGGTAACCTCCTGAGCCATTTCTGAAGCCGGCTTTGTGAGGGGAAACTTTTTGGGTGGCAGTGACTCCCCAGGCTACCTGGGCCACCACCTCCCATCTCTAGGAACTCAGAGAAAAGTTTAGTCTATGCAGGCTCAGTGTTTTCAGCTTCATGCAGAGTGGGTGACTCCTCAGGTGTGCAGTGCCCTCTTGGGACGTTCAGAGGCCCCAGGGAAGTGGAAGTCCTAGGCACTGTCATTAGCCATCCTCGCCTGTGCCCCCAGACCCTGTCCCCACAAGAGGAGAGCAGCTCTGGGTCTTCTCTCCCCAGCTCAGGTGGTCTCACCGTGGCACGGGCCACCTGGCCAGCCCCACCTGGCTTCGGCATCTCAGCGGCTCTGTGGCCAGGACCGGTTTCCAGTGTCTTGCTTGCTTTCCTAACTCTCCCTAGGAGTTCCTGGTGACTAGAGGCAGAGTGACCTGGGGCCTCGGCACATCTCACAGGTAAGAAAGCAGGGCTCCTGGGCGTGAGGGTGCGCCCAGAGCTTCAGCTGGCCTGCCCTGGCCCTGCCACCTCCAGGGAGCTGAGCAGCTGGCCTGGCTGCTGGGTATTTTTAGCTACAGGACCCCCGCCCCCAGCTTGGCCCCCCTCACACCCTCTCCCTCAGACTGGGGCTGGGATGCTGCCAGCCCCTTGGCCAGGCAGGGGGCGGGGCCCGTGTCAGCTGTTCTGCCCAGACCCAGGCAGGGCTGGGGACTCGCTTTCCTCTCCTCCCTCCTGCCCACATAGTGTAAGTGGTTTGGTCATAAGTCAGAATTATCACTTGAACAATAATTAAATTTAAAAAATGCTTTAAAAAGATTATCACCCTGTTTCTCAAGTGAATAGTGGACACTGGGGCTTGAGGATAGGTGGGAGCCCTCCCCATGAGCTGCTGTGGTGTCTCCTGGCCTAGTTCGCTCAGCGTGGGGCAGCCTTTCTAAGTGAATTCTCCCGGGCCCCTCCCTCCCTTACTCTCCCAGTCCCTCCCTGCACTTTAGGGTCCCTGCTGCAGCGGAGTTAGGCTGAAGATGAGGCCACTAAGGTGAGTGACTGGTTCTCCTCCCTTCACTCCAAACCCTCTTCCATCTACCTTGCCCTCCTGGGGTCCTAGGGTCATTTCTGGCATGTCTCTGGGCCTGGTCTGTTCTGCCAACTTGAGGCTGCCTCACCAGCCATCACAGCTCCTCTGTGGTCTCCAAAGAAAGCTCGAGGGTCCAGCTTTGGCTGGGCCTGTTCAGGAGCCTTGTGTCCAGTGTCCCCTGCTTGAGCCTGGCAGCCAGGCCCTCCCGAGCTAACCCCTGTTACCTTGACAACAGCTTCTGGCCTCCTTCCTCATTCCCCAGCTTCTGCCAAACCTGGCGGGGGTTTTCAGCCACCGTGCATTTACCCCGGCTGGGTACCCTTCTGGCCTGCCTGCCCTACACTTGCCAAGCTTTTTATTAGTTCACCTACCCCCCACCACCTCTCAACCTTCTCTGAGCTCCTTATAGGCAAGAATACAATTGCTTCTCAATAAACTTGTGTTTTGGAAAAAAAAAAAAAAAAGATTGAGTTCCTGGTAATTTTTCTAGGGGTGCTTGACTCAGCCGATGCCATCTGGTTTGGTCACAGGGCAGGGCTTCCACCCAACAACCTAAAAAACGGGGCCTTCAGGTACCACCTCTTCGCAGCTCTGGCTCTTTTGGGGCTTCCATGGGCAGTCACTGCTGCCCTCTGGCGGTCAGACCCTGTCTTGACCCGGCATTTCTGAAACTGCCAGGTTGGCAATTTCCTCCCTTTAAGTCAAGTTTGCCACATCTTTGCTGAGAACTTGAAAGTTGGTAACCTTCCGGGTGGGGTGAGGGCAAGAAGATCCTGCATCCTGCCAGCCCCTCTCGGAGTTCCCACCCAGCCTGGGAGGGCCCTGCTCGCTCATTGGGCCGTGCCCCAGTGCCTAACCTGCCTGCCCTCACCTGCTCCAGGGGTCTCCTGCCATTCCTACCACTGGCCTGGTTTGTAAAAGGAAGTCAGCCCAGGTTCGCAGGGAGGGGGCGGGGTGGGGACAGGGGCGATGGCAGCCAGCCACCCTATAGTACTTGGCATGTGCGTGCTTTACAAGTAGCTGCTTTGGTCAGGGTGGTGGGAAGACGGGAGAATCCTTGGGATGTGGCTGCTGGCTGGAGAATAAGATGGCCCCCTAATTAAGATGCTAGATGGAGGTAAGGGTTATCAGTGTCCAAAGTGGGCAAGGGGGCCCAGCTGGTCTCTGTCAGCGCTCTGCTGGCCGCGACCGCATCTGGGTGTCCTGCTCCCTTAAAAAGCCCCTACTAAAAAGTCGCCCACCTACGCGTAGTGCGGGGTGCTCACCTGCACCGAGGCGATCGCCCGACAGAGGGCGCCACGAGTCCACTTTGCACCCCTACGGAGGTGGGGGTAAGCGAAACCACTATTTCCCACCCCCAACCCGCACCCACGCAGGCGCGGGGAGACCCAGACCAGGTGGGTAGACAGCCCCCCCCCCGTGCCAGCATCTTCCTTGGCACCACCAACCTACCTCCTGTGGGGAAACAGGTCACAGGCAGACTTGCCCCAGGCCACAGCTGGAGCAGGGCAGGCTAGGGGGCTCTCCCCAAGCTCGAAACCAAGGCTCCGCGAACCCAGGTGCTAGGTGGGGGGCACAGTTCACCAATCAAAGAGTCCCTGTCAGAACCAGCCAATCGAAGAGCCCCTGGCAGAGGGCGGAGTCTGCCAAATAGGGGTGCCCAGTGAGGAGCCGCGGAAACGGTGGGATCTTGACAGTGGGGGGCGCGCCATTATGAGTGGGAGGAGGGGACGTGGTCAGGCGCTGTTTGTGCGGCTGAGCATTCCCGTTCCTCAGTTACCTCGGTTTCCCCGCAACTGAGAGGCGAAAGCCTTGTGCTGGCGCCCTAGCAGGAAGGAAACTGAGGCTGGAGGTGGGCCTGGGTGGCTGCCTGACGGAGGAGGCGCTAGCAGCTAAGGGGCGGAGCTTGTTGCGGCCCCGCCCCCGGCTGGTATCTGCTCGGCACTGTTCCCCGCGCGCTGCCGCCAAGTCTGCCAGGTCTGCGGGCTCCGCACTATGGACGCCTCGGGGACCCCGGCACAGGCCGCTGCCCCGGGCCCGGGTAAGAAGGAGCTGAAGATCGTGATCGTGGGCGATGGCGGCTGCGGCAAGACTTCGCTGCTCATGGTGTACAGCCAGGGCTCCTTCCCCGAGGTGAGGCCAGCGGAGGGGGGCACTGGAGGGCGCAGGATGGAGAAGGGGGCTGGGCCGGGGCCCCGGGAGGGCGAGAGACAGCCCTCAGCCTGCACCGAGCCCAGGCCCTGGGTCCCCGCCGTCCTGCGCACCGGGTGGCGGCCACCACCCCGGGTCTCCCCCTTGGGAATTCCAGAGTCTCGTGGTGTGAGGGGTGCTGAGCTGGATGGGGCAAAGGTAGAAGGGGACAGGGACCTTAGCCGGACACCCTGGGACTCCGCCGCACTCCTGAAGACCCAACCCTACCCCTTATCCCACAGCATTACGCCCCATCCGTGTTTGAGAAGTACACGGCCAGCGTGACCGTGGGCACCAAGGAAGTGACCCTGAACCTCTACGACACCGCCGGTGAGTCCGCCCAGAGGGTTCCCCTGCCCGGACTTCCCCACGGCCATCCCCGCCGCCAGCCTCCGTGGGGCCCCGACAGCCTATCATTCCTGGAGACAGGAGAGGGGCGCTGGCTGGGAGCTGGGCGACCCTGGTGGCAGAGAGGACCTCTGTTACCCCATCTGTAAAAGGAGGGTTTTGGCCCAGATGAGCTCCCTGCCTCCACCCAGCACTGATGTAGTGAGAGCCAAGGGCTTTGCTCCTCCTCTCCTGTGGTTCTAGAAAATCGTGGGCTTCCTTCAGCTTTCCCTTAGAGCCAGGGTTTTCCCGCGTCACCTGTCTCCTCAGATTCTTTGAGCCCCAGATTTGGAGCCTCTGATGCTGGGATACCTCTGGGCCCTACGTCTAGAATACTCTGGGCTCCTGATCAGAGCTCCTGACGCCCAGATTCTGTGGCCGACAGCCCCGTGGCTCCAGGGTCCTGTGAACGCAAATTTTGATTCCCAGGCTTGTGGGGATCGCAGGGGCTGCCTGCCGTGGGCGGTTCTGGAATTCTTCGCCCTACCGATGGCAGCCTGTGGCTCCAGGGCTATGCCTCCTGGCTCCCTGGAAGAAACAGGCCCAGAGGAGGGAGCCGAGCTCTGGAGAGTCTCGGAAGCAGGTTCTTGCCGCCACCTGCAGCTCCTGGCAGGTTTATTATGCATCACTCACCGGTACCTGCTGCTGGGGATGGATGGGAGGAGCACAGCCAATGAGAGGATTTGGGTGACACTGGTGGGGGGGGCACTGCCTGCCTCTGGGAGTTTCTGTCTTGCCTGGGCCCCCCTCTGGACCTGCACAGACATTGGGGAGCAAAGTTCAGGATCCCCAGCTGGCGCCTCACCCAGCCTTTGTGACTCAGTGTTTAGTAACCTGCACCAAACCCTGTCATCCAGCGCCCCTTCCCCAGGCAAGCCCTGTGTGTATGAGGTGAAGCCTCCGGCTGGCCTGGAATGGAGCCAGAATCCGTACACCCCACCCCACTGCAAGCTGCCATTAGCATCTCCCTGTCTACCTGGAGTGTGTGGAGAGGGACTGGCCGCTCCAGTCCCAGACGCCTCCTCTGTGCCTGACTTCTGGCAGGCTTTGTGGTTTGAGTGTATCGGCGCCTGTGGTGGCCTCTAAGGACCTACTGGGTGAGGAACCTGCAGGGCTGCCCCCAGAACAGGGATGTGTCTCACCCCCCCACACACACACAAAGGCTTCTGGGCAATTCCCAGGGGCGTGGCCACAACAGCAGTAACAATTTGGTGTGTTTTCGGGCGCTCAGTTTCACATTTCCTGTCTGGGCCCAGGGAGGGAGCTCTGGGTGGAGCGCTGGTGGGACAGGGACTGTCCTGGGGAATGTGTCCCCTCTGCCCTCAGGGCGGCTCTCCTCTCAGACCTCATGGTTAAGTGTCCCTTGCTGCCTTCCCCATCAGACCCCTCGCGGGGCCCAGCTCTTTTCTGGTCTGGCCCAGAGAAAGATGCTCAGCGAACATGTCAGGGTAGGTTGTCACAAGAAGGTTCTAGAAAGCTTCTTGTTTTAAAAAAGGATTTGCTCTAAGGGCTACTTTGGGGGTGGGGGGATGGAGGCAGCTCTGTACCCTGCGTCATCAGATTCACGTGACCACCGGGGCAATGCTGACCCTGTTCGTCCACATGTCCATAAGCTTTGGAGTCAGATCTGGGCTTTCAGGCCAGCTCCCCAGCTGGGTGTCGCTGGGTTCGCCTGGGCCCCGGTTTCCTCATCTGTAAGAGGAGCCGAAGTAGTTGTGAGGCTGAATGAGGCCCACGTGACGTCGTGCAGCACTTAGCACGGGGGCTGGCTCTGGGGAAGAGGTCATGAAGTGTCACTGTGATTTGGGAGCCCCCCCTCCCACCCCATCCAGGCCAGAGCACAGTCTGTGGCTCTGCAGGGCTCTGTGCGCCCCACTGCAAAGCCAGCAGGATGCCTCTCAGTGGAGTCGGGGAGCAGACTGGCCCCCAGTCGGCAGCCCAGGGAAGGGCGGGGCTTGCTCCCTCCTCAGGGGACTCCCCCCCCCTTGGAGGAGTGTGGCTGAGACTGTGGGTGCTTGGCTATGGCAGGGCTTGTGGAATGGATGAAGAAGCAGCTAGAGAGGTCCTGGGTGACAAGGGTGATGACGTTCGTCTCTGCGTGTGCATAGGCAGATATCTGGGGAATGTGCTGGACAAGGATGGCCAGGTGACCAGACAAAGGTGGAGACTGAGCAGTGAAGGGAGTGACCAAGCCGGAGATGAGTCTAGTCAGAGTTGTTGTGGAAGGTTCTAGAACCTGATAGGCTAGACTCTGCAGCAGGGGGGTTCGGAGAAGGGAGGGTGCAGGGTGGTGTCTTTCCAACCAAGCAGGGCTGATTAGATTTCTGGGACAGGGGAGGCTCTGGGTCCAGTGGATTTCCCCACACCCAAGACCCCACACACAAGGGCCCCTGTGGGGGGGCTGGTCAGGCTGCTTGTCTCCGTCCTGTGGGGACAGTCACAGACGCACAGTGACAGAGGGTGCATGGAGCTCTCAGTGCTCAAAGCCGAAGGGAGGCAGGGGCTGTGAGTACCTGCCCCCCCATCCCAGCAGCCTCGCCTGCCGCCCCAACACCCTCACCGACACCGTCAGAGACAGGAAGCTGTGGTGAGGTCTGAAGTTTCCTGGGCAGGGGGGAGGTGGGGGCGGGTGGGATGTTAAGACACCCACAAGAGACACGAGAGATGGGGCTACTGGGGCCTCGGGGTGGGGCCCAGGGTTGGGGCATCACAGGACGGGGTGGGGAGTGACTGGGAAGGTGGGGCACGTCTGTGGTTGTAGTCCCAGCCTTCAATGGGGACACTGGGAAAAATGGGGGCAGAGGACTTGCTAAGACAAGGAATCAGGGACGAAAGCGGTGTCCAGGAGCCAGGAGCACTGGAGGCTTGGGGAGCCAAAGCCGTGGGTCCTCAGCCTGGACCAGTCACCGGGGAGGACACGCAGGGGCGTGGGCCCCAGAGCTCTAGTAAAAGCGGGTTCCTTTTCCGGCACTTCCCCTTCTCACGTGGTCTGCACCCACCCAGACCAACGCCCTGGCAGGAGCTGGGACCCAGCTGCCCTGTGTTTGTCCTCCAGCCAATTCGGGGACCACTGTGGCTCCACGACACCCTGACTTCTCACTCCAGCTCCGCACTTTCAAGACCCCTGTCCCCGACAGGGTGACTGCCCACAAAGGAAACACCTTCTCCGGAGGCGGGTGCGCTCCTCACTTCCTCCTCTCCAGAAACCAATGCCTCCTTTTGCACGAAACGCTGGGGCCTTTTAAACATCTGAAACCCATTTGCAGGGGCCAGAGAGGGACGCCTGGAGGCCCTGGCGTGACTGTGGGTAAACTGTGGCTGGAGGACCCCGTGCAGGGGGGCTCCGCAGAGCCAGGGTTAGAGCCCTCCCCAGGACCCCGTCCCCCGGAAGCTTCCATTTCAGCGGTAACCGGGCAGCAGTCCCTCACCAGCAGTCTCTCACCACTGCCCAGCCCTGCTTTGCCCGCAGGCCTTTCAGTTTCAAGGCCAGGGTTGTCACTCCCTTCTCCAGATAAGGAAACTGAGGCCCAGAGCCGGAAGGCCAGTCACGGAGGGCGAGGCTGCATGCAGCCGGCCCTCCTGACTCACCTGGGAGGCCACGAGGGCGCTCCACCCCGCCCACGGAGGCGTGAGGTCACCCGCAAGGCGGCCGTCTTCTCGCTGCTGGCCATGTCTGCGGGAGGAGGCCCACCCTGGATCCTGGGGACAGCTGAGCCAGGCACAGTCCAGCCAGAGAGGCAACCGGGAGGAGGGGCTGGGCCCCAGGCTGGCCGCCCAGCCCCTCCCAGAATCCCTCTCTCCTTGAGACACCTGTGCCGGCAGCCTTTCCTCCATCTGGTCAGGGCTGGGCTTTGTCGAGTGGGGACAGCTCCCCGTGCTTTGGGGTGGAGTGAGACAGGCACCCCAAAAGTCCTGCCTGTGGGCCCCTGCCCTCACAAAGCTTCCTCTTTGTAAGAAGAGCTGTGTGACCATGGACGAGTTGCTTGGCCTCTCTGCGCTGCAGTGTCTGCCACTGTAAAACGTGGTAACAGCCCTGTGGTCCAGGGTCCTAGTGACGAAGGGGGAGTCGGCCAGTCGAGGGCTTTGTGTGGGGCCCGGAGGTTGAAGAATGACACTGACCATTTTTATTATTGTTGTCATCTGCTTCTCACACGTCCCTCTCACAGGCAAGGAAACCAAGGTCTAGAAGTTAATTCCAAATTGGGAAGGCTTCCAGGGAGAACTGGTCCCTTCAGAGCCGCTTGGCCGGGAGCTGACCTTGGACTTGGGGACTGAGTTGGGCTCCAGCTCCCAAGGAGCCTGCCTGTGACCTTGAAAAATGCCCCCTCAGCCACCTGGGCGCCTAACAGGAAAAACCCTCCCTGCCCAGCTTACCTCCCCCGCCCCCGCCCAGTGGCAGCTTAAATGAGCACAGGTGACGAAAGAAAGTGCAAACACCAAAGGCCTCGGGGATTGTCGATGCCCCTCGTCCACCTGCCCGCCGGTTCACCAAACGGAACTGAGCTTGCCAGGGTCCCAGGGAGTTCAGTTCCGGTGACTGGCACGGGGGGGGGGGGGCAAACAAACGAGAAATGGAAGAACATTGCTGCCTCAGGTGGCGAGACGAGCTAGACCGAAAAGTAAAGCCAGTCAGCCCGTGGGACCGACTGGCAAGGAGGCTGTTTCAGAGCCATTCTCCAAAGGAGGTGACACTTCGGCAGCCACCTGCGGGAAAGGAGAGACCGAGGCAGCTCCTACCTGGGGACAGCCTTCTAGAAGAGGTGACAAGAGCAAGGGCGGAGTCCTGGGGTGGAGCCGGCTCCACCCGATGCCCCCCTTCGGCCCCGGCAGTTGGGCTTCTGCCCTTCTCAACGCTGCCCCAACTGCCACGGGCAAACCCGACGGCACCCCAGCCCCGGTCTCCCCGAGTGACGACAGGTGAGCAGCTTCAAAAACGCCACCAGCCAGTCTTGATTGGATGCCTGACAGGTGCCAGCAATTAAGTTTTTAAAAAATATTTTATTTCTGCCCTGGCTGGTGTAGCTCAGTGGATTGAGTGTGGGCCTGTGAACCACATGATGGCGGTTCGATTCCCAGTCAGGGCACATGCCTGGGTTGTAGGCCAGTTCCCAGCAGGGGATGCACTGGAGGCAACCATACATTGATGTTTCTCTCCCTCTCTCCTTCCCTTCCCCTCTAAAGATAAATAAATAAAATCTAAAAAAAAAAATTATTTCTTCTTAGAGGGGATGAGAGGGAGAAAGGGAGAGAAGCTTGGACGTGGCCCCCGTAAGCGTCCTGTCCGAGGACTGTGCCCGCGGCCCAGGCACCGGCCCTGACTGGGAATTGAACCGGCGACACCTCCTCTTGCAGGATGACACCCCATCCACCAAATCATGCTGGTCGGAGCCCAGGAATTAATGCCCAAGGGCAGAAAGGCCCCTGCCCTCAGGGCGTTTACGGTCCACAGGGACACAGGCCGTACAAGAGGACACTCCAGAGTCCATGTGGACAGACCGGGCAGGGCGCACCCTGAACCAGGCGAGATGAGGGGAGGCGAGGGGTGCAGTTGGCCCCCTTTGCCAGCTCCGTGTCCGCCCCGGCCAGTTTTCTCCAGGGGAGTGGCAGCGTGCCGCGCCTTGCCGCTGTCATGAACAGGGTCACTCGCCGTAGAGGGTCGGCAGCTGCGTCCGCACAGAAGCAGAGAAGAACTCGGCTGTTTCTGCAGTGGGAACGCAGGACTTGGAACTGAACGGTGGGTGGCTTGGGTGCAGAAGGGGCCGTGCTGCAAGAAGGCGCCTCCTGCAGCAGTGACAGAAGCCCTGCGCCGTCACAGCAGCCACGGCCCCGTGTGGCGGTTCATCACCGGCAATATGGCTAGAGTAACGGAGGACCTGCATTTTTCATGTTAAATAGCCACGTGGGGCTGGAGACGGCACTGTCCCACTGTCCGGCAGCAGAGGTCAGTACAGGGACAGGGGGGGAAGGCACAGGCAGGAACAGCGGGCTGGGCCAAGTCGCCCATTCTTACAAGAATTTCTCCAGCTTTGTGGCCAGGAGGGCTGGGGGGTCAGAGTGCGCCCCGCCCACCCCTCCCCCTCTGTTGGGGGCGTTCTTGGCTCAGTGACAGCAGGGACACTCCTCCTGGCCTGGCCTCTGCTGTAACTGGCAGCCACCCTCTGCACACTGTCAGGGGCTCTGGTTAGAGGGGGAGCCCGTGGGGAGAGAGAGGGGTGACTGTCCTGTCCTCCGCGGGTGCCAGACGCAGGACCTGGCCTGTCTGCTCCGCGAAGAGGCCTTTGGCAGGGAGGGAGTGAAGGGCACCCGCCGCTGGGAGGGAGGGCGGGTCTGGGCGGGGACTCCTGGCCTCTGTGGCGAGTGGAAGAAGTCACCTTGCCCTTCTGCAGAGGTGCTGGGGGACTGCCAAGGAGTCTGGAGGGCGCTCGGCGCTCTGTGGGAGCTTGTCAGAGTTACGCAGTAGGACAGCGAGTGCACGACTTCCACGCAGCGCCCTGCCGCTGGTCTGGGGGTTGGCCAGCAAGGTCTGCACTCGGCCAGTGGACTGGACCAGCACGGGGCCCAGGGGCTGCTTGCCCACATTGGGCGCTCCTGCTGGGGTCAGGAAGAGGCCGCCCCTGTTCTCGGGCATCCTCAGAAAACCCGCAGGGCGGCGTCCTGGGCAGAGCCCCGGGTGCTCTCGCCTCTCGCGTGCTCCGGAGTGTTTCTACGTAGACAACCCAGGTGGAGCGAAGTGTAGACACTCGGCGCAGCTGAGGGAAGGTGCTCTTGGCACTCTTTTGGGCAATTTATCTGTGAGCTTGACATTGTACATATAAACATTTTTTGAAAAACCAAACCCACCGCTGTCCCGCCAGCCTTGGGCTCTGACTCCGTTGCTGCTGGGCAGGGGCCAAGCGTCAGACACGTCTCCCCCCATGTCTCCGCTGGGTGGCGGGGGTGACAGCTGCTGTGTGGGGTGGGGGCTCGTCGTCCCCAGCCATCCCTCCCCCTCCCTGGCGTTGGCTGAAATGGCGGCATGAATTCCACCTGAGGCTTCTGAGCCTGTGGGGGAGTCACGCTCCTTTAACTGAATTTCCGGGGAGGGGGCGGTTGGGGCCGGGAGGGTCGTCTCCAGCATAAGCAACTGTAGCAGCTTTCCAACCTCGTGGTCAGGCCCCACTCTGAGGACCGCATGGGTTTTATTTCGGCCAGTCCTGGCTCCCGTCCAGGACAGTGGGCTGTCCCTGTTCCCCAGGTGAGAAAACCGAAGCCTAGACACCGGTCACTTGTCCAGAACACCCCCAACCCCGCGCCCACCTGAGCCCAGACAGGGCCTTGGTTGGATGAGGCCAGCGTGCCTCCCTGACCCCCAGCCGCTCTCGGGTTCCAGGGCAGGAAGACTATGACCGGCTGCGGCCCCTGTCCTACCAGAACACCCACCTGGTTCTCATCTGCTATGACGTCATGAACCCCACCAGCTATGACAACGTCCTTATCAAGGTGAGGCCTGCCTCCCAGCCTGCCTGCCTCGGGGGGGGGGGGCACGAGGGGACACTGAAACCAGCCTGGGCCCTGACACCCAGCCTGTCTCTCCACAGTGGTTCCCTGAGGTCACGCATTTCTGCCGTGGGACCCCTGTGGTGCTCGTGGGCTGCAAGACAGACCTGAGGAAGGACAAGGAGCAGCTGCGGAAGCTCCGGGCGGCTCAGCTGGAGCCCATCACCTACCTGCAGGTAGGCCAGGGGCGCCTCCCTCCCTTCCCTGTCCCCACCCCACCACGGGCAGCCTGGGCCCCTCGGCACAGCTGCGGCCTAAAGGAATCCCAGGCCTTAGGCTTCTGCAGCGGGGCTGCAGACAGCTGAAGCAAGCAGGATTCTAAGAATAACAATTTAAAAATACCGATGACCCACGTACCCAAGCACTTTACCTTATGTCATCCTCAGAACCCCAGAGCGGGCACTGTTAGTACTTCCCATATTCAGGGGGTCAGTTCAGGGCTGGAGAGGTCAAGCAGCTCGCCCAGGGTCACACAGTGAACTTGAAGTATATGCTGTCCTGGTCACTCCGGCTCGAGTCTGGGCCCTTATCCACCCTCCCGCCTCATCTCCCCGAGGGGACCTGAGGGGCAGGCCCGGGTTTGGAAGCAGGCTCCTTCAGACTCCTGAGCGTCCTGGCAAAACCTAACCCTGTGGCCTGGGTGAGGCACGGGGGAAAAAGTGGGACACGAAGGGCAACTAGTCAAGTTTAATAAAAGGGAATACACATTAATGGAAGTAAACTTGCCTCAGAAACAGGAATCTCCTACCCTGGGAGCAAACCCTGTGTCCTGCATGGAGCCCTTGGGAAGGGAGAGGGTGTGTCGGGGTGGCCCACTTCTGCCTGAGGGAGGAGAGGGGGTGGGATGGAGGCCAGGAGGGGCTTCTGCCCACAGGGCCACGCCACACAGACCCTTCTGCTCCATCCGCCCACTCCCGAGGGCTGGCCCCGGGACGGAGGACAGAGGCCCCACACCAAGACCTCAGCCCCCGAGAGCCACTGAAGCGGCCCCCAGCTCCCGGCCCCTCACCTAATGCTGGCCCCTGTGTGCCCTCCCCCCTCCGCCAGGGCCTCAGCACCTGCGAACAGATCCGAGCCGCCCTCTACCTGGAATGCTCAGCCAAGTTTCGGGAGAACGTGGAGGACGTCTTCCGAGAGGCTGCCAAGGTTGCCCTCAGCGCCCTGAAGAAAGCGCAGCGGCGGAAACACCACCCGCTGTGCCTGCTGCTCTGACCCCGCCGGGCTGGGCCGGGCACACAACTTCAGGACGGGACTGACCGGGGGCCCAGCTCTTGGAGGGCACTTGGGGTTGGGTGTCTCCAGGGCCTACTGCCTGAAGTCTGCGGCAAGACTCGGGACGTTCTGGAACTCTCTCCTTTCCCTGCTGAGGCTCTGACTGTAAACTCTGCATCTGGGGCCCTCCTGCCAGCGGGTGAGGGTGCTGGACTCGGTTCCCCTGTACCCTGGAACTGGCATTTGCCCCCAGAACTCTGGGGTGCCCTCTCCACACCTTCCGCCAGCCGTGTGGGTCACCTTCGCACACCCAACAGGTCCTTGAAGCCCGTGCTCCGAACACCAGGCGACACTGGGGTGTGGGTGAATGTGGACTTGGCAGCACCCCAGGGGCCCCGAGCCTGTGGCTCCCTGGGCTCAGGAGATAGACCGGCTGCATCCTCCAGCTCCTGGCTTCCTTCCCCTGGGAACTCTCGGCCGTGAGGGGACCAGGCCTATCAGGGGAACGCAGACAACGGCCCCGGACATGGGGGCTGGCAACCCCCACTCCACCCCCTCCGCCCCACACAGAGGACGTCAGCCCCAGCCTTTGGCTTGGCCGACATCTTTCCAGACCTGGACACACATGACCAGGGGGAGGAGGGACTCGGGAAGCAAAACGAATGCCTGGACCACCCGGCGACCCCTGCTCTGGGTCTCCTCACCCACAGGAGCCCCCTGCCGCAACGCGAGATGGAAAGTGACACCGGCTCCTGATCTTGGACAAGTCCCTTCTCTCTACAGACTGTCCCTGTCTGTGAAAGGACAGTGCCGGCCCATGAAAGAGCCATCAGGCCCCTCTGTCCCTCATAGCCACCGCTTCAGCCAAAGCACGACCACCCTGGTCTCCTTCAAGAACGGACTTGCCCCACCCCAGGTGCAACCTCCTTCGGGGAAGGTCCGGGAATGTTTGAACAAGTGCCCCCAGTGGTTCTAACGCCCGAGACCGAGCTACTTGGTTCCTGAGCAAGTGCAGAAGTCAGCGCCACCAGACGGGACGCTGCCCCAGGTGGCCTCTGCCCCAGTGCCGTGGCCACTAAGGCCGAGCCTTTCTGAAGTCACCTGCTAGGGAAAGAGGCATCTGAAGTCCACTGCACCTCACCTGGGTTCCCCGAGGCCATGCCACACTCTGGGGACGGAACAGGGCGTTTGGTTCTGGCAGGATTCAGGGCCTCATGGACAAATGAGGGTTTAGGAACCAGGTCAGCAAACCTGGCCTGTGAGCCAAATCTGGCCACTCTGTTTGCAAATAAAGTTTTATTGGAAGACGGCCACTCATGCCCTGCACCTACAGGCTGACGTGGCTGTGATGGGCCGACCACCTGGCCCTTTACAGGGAAGATTGGTGACATCCAGACCAGGGCAGTGGGTTTCAGCTGGCAGGCCCCAGAGTTTCTGAAGCTCTACCTGACTAGACAGGGGCAATGACCTCTTTTCCCTTAAACGGTCAAGTAAAAAAAATAAATAACAGCCAACGTAATAGCTGTCCAGTTTGAATGAATCAAAATTATAACTTTTTTCTTTTGGTCAGATCAGGGGGAAAAAAAGATGTATTTTTTTGGTGCAGCATAATTTTAGTAGTTTACGTGTGCCGTGAAGTGACAAGGCTAAAAGTCACCGGTCTGGGGCAAACCCGACGCCCAGCGGGCGGCTGGGAGGCCTGGCTTGGCCCGGCACGGCCCTGAGGGAATGTTGCCAAGTCTTTCCCTTTTTCTAGGGAATTTCATATTTTTTAAATGTAGCCAATTAAAGAAAAAGCAAATCCCTTTGAGGGCCAAAACATGGCGGTGAAAACCAGCTGTGAACTCTGGTTCACGAGGGTTTGCATGGACGTCGTTAAGGGCAGCTGAGGCTCAGGCGTGGGAAACGCCCAAACCTGTTCGCTCCTCCCCCTCCGCGAATACAGGGTCTACGGCCCTGGCGGCCTCCTGAACGTGAGGTGGTTCAGACTCCCCCCACTTTCTAGAACCTTCAGGTGAAGAAGGGAGGGCCGTGCAGGTTGGGGGCCTTTTGTGCTGGCTGAAGCCGAGGGTCTGGGTCTCATTCCCTGAGTCCTCACTGTGAGAATTCGGGAAGGGCTGAAGTGAGGGTCAGGAAGCCCCCAAGAGCAGAGCCAAACTTAGTCCAAGAACAAGCTCAAATCACCCAAATGCTGCAGGGCCGGGGCGCCCTCTGGTGGCCACCTTCAGAAAACCCTCCCACTGAGGCCCACCCACCCTCAGCTGCTCCAGGGGCCAAGAACCCCAACCTCGGGGAGGGAGGGCCACTCTCCCCAAGTGGCCAGCAGTCAGGGGGGCTGGGGAAGCACAAACAGCACAAGGCACAGACAGACAGTGGTTCTCAGAGCACTTAAATGCCGGCCCACAGAAATGGAGGCCGGGAGGAGGCGGGAGCTTATTACAGCAGAACCGTGAGCCTGGGGAGGGAGGCGCCACGGGACCAGGGGCTTCCTTCCGCCCCAGCTGGGGCTCTGTAAGTAACAGGTCATAAGTCTACCCCCAGGAGGCATATCCACACCCCACCTGAGGGGCTCAAATGATGGGAGTGGGGACAGAGGGGCTCCCTGAGGCTTAGCCTTCTCCCAGGAAGCCCACCCAGTCTGGCCAGGGGCAGCTGGGGAAGGCGAGGGTCCTAGGAAGGACCCACATTAAATACGTCATAAATAGGGAGGGTGGGGCGGCTAATACTGTGAGCACAGGCTGGAGTCACATTCCTCTCGTCCTGCCGGGGTCCAGGCCCCGGCCTGCTCCCCACAAGGCTGCTGGCCCTTGAGGTAACTGCTGCCAGTGGCCACTGCACTGCTGGGGAGGAAGTCGGCAGCGGGGTGCCGACGGAGACCCCTGCAGTCTCCGAGTCCGGGGCTCCAGGGCGCGGTCCCGAGGCTCACGGCTTCTTGGCCTTGCTCCTGTTCTTCTGGAGTTTGGTGTGCACGACTTTGAGTGTGGTCAGGAAATTGCCCAGGAAGAGGACCAGGAACGTGAGTGCCAGCACGAACACCTGGTGGGGCCACGTCAGGACGGGAAAGAGGGGGAGGCCGTGCCAGCTGTGATCAGCGCCCCCTGCTGACGACGTTCCACCCCACCCCCGGACCGCAGCACCCCCTTAGCACAAGCTACCCACGACCTTCAGGGTTTTGCCTGCAGAAGTCAGAGAGAGGGTCAGGCAGAGTCCTGGGGAGCTCACTGAGGGGCTCCCTGGCCTCCCAAATCTCCTCCCATGGTCTCCCAGTTCCCAGGAGCAGAGAGGTCTGGGCCCCATGGAGGAGAGCCAAGGGGATGGCTAAGGAAAGCACTTTCCCCAAGCCGGCCCAGCCTTCCCCAGGACCCCCGCAGCTCAACACCACCGCACACACGCAAGCACACACACACACACCATACCTGCCATTCTCTGCATTCCTCGTGGCTGGAGAGCTCGAACAGCGTGACCGCGTTATACAGCTGCCAGAACTGCAGGGAGTGGGGGCAGGCGCCGCTCAGCTACCAGTGCCCCAGGCACCCTCAAGGGAGAGCCCGGGAGATGCGCCAGGTCCCCCAGCTTCTGGTATCAACTGCCCTGAGATACTGAAAACTCCCAATGGAACTGGGGTACCTGAAGCCAGAGTAGCCTGAGGCCTCCCCAGACTCAGGGGCTGCCACAGCCCCAGGACCCCACGAGGCCCAGCCCGGGGATGGCTGGTGAATGGGGGACAGGCCTGCAGACCTTCTGTTCTTGGGGGTCAGCCCAGAATAGGGCATATCCACAAACTCCAGGGGTACTCACGTGGCCACAGAACAGGAAAGGCAAGAGGAAGGTGAGCCCCCGCCACATCCAGGACTGGAATCCTTCTGCGGAGAGCGGGGAGGGAGCGAAGGGCCCATGTGAAGGGCTTTGGTGGCCCCCACGGCCCACCAAGCGCCCACTGCTCAGCCATGCCGGCTACCCACAAACACACACAGGTCGCCTCCTCCGGGAACTCGAGCGCTCACTGTGAAAATGACCCCGAGAATGTGCAGAACACCTGCCACCGGACCTGACGGCTCAAGCTGCCGTGAACTGAGCAGGCCCGACCACGCGTACGGAATGCTGATGTGCCAGGCAGTGTGTTTTCCATCATTTCTTTCATTTGCATTTTTACAGTGGACGTTGGAATGCACCACTGCAACTGAGTCTTGACAAAGAAGGGCCTACTCTGCAGAGCAATCCGGTAAAAATGACCATCTTAAAAGACAGCAGAGATTTATTAAAACTAGCGTCCCCTGCACCTGGCCAGTGCGGCTCAGTTGGTTGGGGCCTCACCCCACAAACCGAAAGGTTGCCGGTTTGATTCCCGGTGAGGGCATGTGTCTTGGCTGCAGGTTCAGTCTCTGGTTGGGGTGTGTACAAGGCAACCAATCAATGTTTCTCTCCCTCTCTTTCTCCCTCCTTTCCCCTCTCTCTAAAAATAAGTAAACTAAATATATATATTTTAAAGTTTCTCCTAAAAATTTAGATGAAAAGTCTCCAGGCTTTTCTTATTAAGCACCTGTCCCTGAGTTAAAAACTTACACATACACTCCCAATGTATATACAAGTATATGTGTAACACTAGGCTGACATTATGTGTGTTAGAAAGCACAGACAAAAAATAGACATTTAAAAATGATGCGAGGTCCTGGCCAGGAAGCTCAGTTGGTTAGAGCACAGTTCCAATACGTCCAGGTTCCAGGTTCAATCCCCAGTCAGGGCACATACAAGAATCAACCAATGAATGCATAAATAAGTGGGACAACAAAACCGTTATTTCTCTTTCTCTCTTCCTCTCCCTGTAAATCAGTAAGTAAACATTTTTTATAAAATAAACATGGAAAGGATAAGAGAGAAGCCAGCACTGGGAGGCAGACAGCCGGTCTTGCCCTTGGCTGAAGCAGAATCCATGGTGAATTATGAAAAGCAACCCGGGCAGGAGCCGGCAGCTCTGGTTCTGCGTGTGGCTGGTCTTGTTTTGTATGTCCTTCCTGGCATGTGCTCCCACTGCGGGGAGTCAGAGGCGAGGTCTGGGGGACCTGGCCGGGCCCGCACTTGTCCCTCCGCTCCTCAGGCCGCTACTCACCCACCGTGAGGTCCAGATGATTCCTCTCGCCCAGAGCCCGCAGCCGGTAGAGGCAGCCCCTCTGGTAATAGTACTGCAGGAACTGCACACAGCCTGCAGGGGGAGCACAGCGCCCGGAGGATGGAGGGGCCCCTCCACCGCAGGGGGCAGGGCTGCCCTGCCCAGACGGCAGGGGGCACTCTGGGGACAACCCTCTCCCACCCCAGCACGCGCGCGTGCGCTCCCTGTGGTCTGCATCCACTTTATCCATCCTCCAGAATATGGAAAGAACTCGGGATATCCGAGTTCCCAAGGAAGCCCCAGCTTGACTAGAAACTTCTAGAGCTTCCCTCGGCACGCAGTAGGCACTCAAAAGATGCTTGTTGGACCGCGCACCACACTGGGAGCTGTGTGCAATGCCCAGGGGATCCCATACAATGTGATACTTTTACTGACGTGGAAAAACGCCCAGGGCAACTATTCAAGACCCAGGTTACAGTCAAAACTACACATGCAGAGGGGTCCCACGGCTGCGACTGCACACAGTGCGGTGCACACGTGTGTGTGTGTGAACACGTTAAAGGTCACAGACCTACTAACAGCATCGCCCCTTGGAGTGAGACTGTACGTGATTTCCATTCTCGGCTTTATGTATTTGTACTTGTTTGTAAGCAAGATTTTACTTAAAAAATTAAGCTGTATTTTTTTGAATCGGCAGTACGTACACGATATAAAATTTAAAGGGAACGCACAGGCATAGGCGAAAAAGTAAAACTCTGCCTGTCTCCCCCCACCCACACCCCACTCCTGGAAGCAGCCCGAGCCCTGGGCCCAGTGCACTGTCGTTTGTAAGTGAGAAAAGGAGCTTGTTTCCACTTTGAGGGGAACAAAGTTAGTGCCCCCCACACCCCCGGGCTCCCAGAGATCCGGGTGGTCTGGCCTGGCCCCAGGAAGGAAAGGCAGTGAGGGGGGCTGGGGGCGGAGCTGAAGGCGCGGAGTTGATGGTGGGGGCAGACAGCTCTGTCCCGGATTCCTGGCCTCCCCCTGCCCCAGGCCGGGTAGAGACCTCCCCCAGTCCCCTCCCTCTTCCAGGAAGGGCACGCCCCCCCCAACAGGGACGTGGCCTCCTAGAAGACCAAGTGCCCCCTCCCCTGAATCTAGGCAAGAGTCACTCACTCTGAAAAATGGAAAACGCTAGAAACTGATTTCGGAACTTCTGATAAATCAGTCCGTTAGGCCTGCAGAGAAGGAGGGAAACGCCAAGGTGAGGTGTGCTGAGAAATGAAGGCATTCGTGTCCTGTGCTGTTCCAACTGAGAGGGGAGAAAAGGTTCCACGAGGAAGCCGAAGCCCCCCGATTTCTACCCTCCTTCACCACCAGTGCCCTTGGGGCTGGGCCCAGGCACTTCCCTCCTGGCTGTGAGTCCCTTCGAGAACCAGGGCAGCCCGTGGAGTTTTGAAACCTAAGTGCCCAAGGGTTCCCTCCCCACTCCCCGCTAGACTCTGGTGCCGCAGCCCCACCCCGAGCTGCTGCGTCCAGCCTGCTCCCTGTCACCCCTGCCCCAGACAGAGGGCAGAGGGCGCATTTCCAGGAAAAACTCCCCACGGCCCAGCTGTAAGCTCCACTTCCCTTCTTGGCTCCAAAGTTGGCCCGGGTCAAGGCCTTCGAGAGCCATCTGGGCCCCTCGCTCACCACCAGTCCCCATTTGCCGCTACCTGAGGAGGGCCAGCGGAGGCTGGGGAACGGGGCAGGACACACTCACCAGGTCAGCATCACTCCGGACAGGAACGTGGACACGTAGTGGTGAGACACCCACCAGCCTTTAATTCTCGGGGAGAACGAGGGAAGGGAAAGCTCAGGCAGGAAGAGAAACACAGGCGCCTCCCAGCTTCCCAGCCTGCGAGAGGGGGCTCCCCTTCTCCCTGTCCTACGGACACGCACACCCACCCACGAGCCCTCAGCCAGGAGCCATGAGACCCACAGAAACACATGGCCCCTGTGGCTTCCAGCTGCCCGGAGGACGCAGCCCCAACCTCACCCCCACTGCAAGCCCCACCTCCCTTCCTCTCCTCCTTGAACCACTCTACCTCTCCATCTGACCTGGGCCGGGCTCAGTAGTGCGGTCCCAAACACCTGGATTGAAGCCCCAGTCCCCCATGTGACTGTACTCAGAGACGGGGCCTTTAAACAGGTCACTAAGGCTGAATGAGGTCATGAGGATGGGCCCCCATCCAAGAACACCAGTGTCCTTATAAGAAGTGGAGACACAAGAGGAGTGTGTGTGCTCATGAAGAAAAGGCCCCGTGAGGACGCAGGGGCTGTCTGCAAGCCAAGGCAGCCTCAGGAGAAACCCACCCCGCTGGGCCCTTGGCCTTGGCCTTCCAGACTCCAGAACTTCTGCTGTGTGCGCTGCCCACTCTGTGTCTTGTCAGGGTGGTGGCCGAGCTGACCAGCAGAGCCTCTGTACTTGCTGTTCTCTCTGCTCCCAGGCCGTGGCCTGTCTGGCTCCTGGTCCAAATTCAAGTTTGCCTGTCACCTCCTCCAAGACCTTCCCTGACCCTCTTATCTAAATCAGCCAGACAGCCCACTCTGGACCACATTATCCTGTTTCACCTTCTCCATGGTGCTCACCAGTGTCTGAGATGATTATTTTTCCTCATTTGTGTTCTGAACACCCTCCTCCACTCAGACATCAATCCCTGAAGAGCAGGGGTCTTGTCAATGTGCTTCAGTGACGCCCCTGCTCAGGGCAGGAGCTCAGTAAGTGTGTTGAATAGACACAGACCACACACACACACACACATGCACACACGCACGCACATTTACACACAGCAGCAGCCACCTGCATTACCCCGGACAGAAACGGAGGAGTGACGGACCGCCCACACAGCATCACAGCACCTCAGACGCAGCTGTTCCCAGGGGGCCCCACGCGCCGACGCGTCAGCTGCTCCATCGACAGCCGGCCCTTGCCCAATCCTGGGCTTCACTCGTCCAGTCTAGAGGCTGGGGGAACTCTGCTGTCAGAACCCGGCGTTCCCCAAGCTCAAGGCCCTCACTCCGCAGCAGGGGAGGGACCCTGGTTGCCACCCCTCCTCGGTGCTGGGGGCGGCCCAGGAGGAATGCTGCACCCAAACACCTTTGCCCTTCAAAGTCCCTGAGTTTGTCTCAGGCCTCAGCTGGCCTTCCCCAGCCCCTCTCTGGGAGCTCAGTTACCTGAACACCACGTGGCAGGGAGGTGCTTTGCCAAAGGCAGCCTGGGAGGAGCCAGGGTCCTTCCCCCCAAGGACTGAGCAGCAGAGGCATCTGTAGGTGTAATCCAGCTACGTCCCTCCAGAACAAACCATCTCTCTCGCTCTCTCTGCCATGGGGCCCCGTGAGAAGATGGGGTTCCGGGCGCTGCTGCTCACGAGGAGGAGCCCAGGATCCGCTGGTTTGGGGGATGCACTGCCAGGTCAGACTTCCGTCGTCCCGCAACTGGCCTTCCCCCCTGGATTTCCAGGCTAGTACCTTCAGGGCGGTTGCTAGTGTCTGAAACGCCACGTGACATTTCAGGGTGTCGCTGTGCCAGAGTCTGCTCGGCTGTTCCTCAACAGTCACTATCGCCCTCGATGCTGCCAAGACATGCCTCTGGGAGTCCCCTCGTGTGGTGCCGGTTTCTCCAAGAAGTGGGATGGTTGGCTCAGAGGGTGTGTGCGTTACTTGTCAAAGCATCTTCCAAAATCACTATCCCAACTGACACTCCCGTCGGCTGTAGGGGGGGGCATTGGGGTCCCCAAACCCTCACCAAGGCCTGATACAAAATTTAAAAATTTCTGCCCAACTTATTGGGTGAAAAATGGTGTCACTGAGGTTTCCATTTGCATTTCCTTATCTGTGGGTTTGGGTGATTTGAAATGCACCCCCCCCAACCGCCGCCAGAACGGAGACATCCTGAGAGTGGGGACTGGCCCTTCCTCATCCCTCCATCTCCGTGCAGCCCTGATAGTTCTGGACGTACACAAGGCGGGCAGACGACGGCCTGAGGGTTCCTCAAGGGTTATGGTGATGGACAAGGCTTCTTCCTTTATTCCCAGCACTCACAGCACCAGGTAAACAGTAGGAACTACATAAATGTTGACATGAATAAAGATGTGCACAGGAGGTGCAGCTGGTGAAAGCCATAGCTGGTCTGCAGGCCACCAGCAGAGAGGGGACGGGAGCCGGTTGCAGGCGCCACGAGAGCCCGTGGGATGAGATAAGACGTCCACTTACTTCTTGGTTCCTTCTCCCTCCTCCTGACCCTGCCCTGTCTGTCGGGCTCTGTCAGGCCCGGGCACTGATTTTCTGATAGAAAAGCCTGGTGGCCACGTCCTCAGACTTTTAGCTTGAAGAGCACCCAGGAAGCCTCGCCGGAACCTTCCCAGGTCTCTGCAAAGCCACACACAAGGCCTGGGGTCTCCGCAAGTCCAGGCCCCTTTGTGCTACATCCACTCTCCTGAGTGGACACAGGTTCTGGGCGACAAGCTCGGCTGAGCAGCAGCTTCTAACTCCACAGCGTGCTGTGCACAGAGCCCAGCAGTGACAGCTGCCACCAATAAACACAGCTCCGTGGCACTGGGAGTGGCTGGAAGTCACTTCTTCCCCAGCCCCATCGTCCACCTGCACACCCCAGGGCTCTGGGCAAGTTTTATGCATGTGTTTATATAACATTTTTAAAAAGATTTTATTTATTTTTCTTTAGAGGGGAAGGGAAGGAGAGAGGGAGAGAAATATCAATGTATGGTTGCCTCTCATGTGTCCCCTGCTGGGAACTGGCCTGCAACCCAGGCATGTGCCCTGACTGGGAATCGAACCGCAATCATGTGGTTCGCGGGCCCGTGCTCAATCCACTGAGCTACACCAGTCAGGGCTATATATAACATTTTTATTGTGATGTAATTCAGATATCATACAGTTCACTCATTTAAAATACACATTCACAGCCCTGGCTCAGTGGACTGAGTGCCACACTACAAACGGAAAGGTCACCAGTTTGAAACCCAGTCAGGGCACATGCCTGGGTTGCAGGCCAGGTCCCTGGCTGGGGATGTGTGAGAGGCAGCCAACCGATGTTTCTCTCCCTCTCCCCTTCCTCCCTCCCTTCCCCTCTCTCTAAAAATAAATAAACAAAATCTTTAAAAATACACAGACTCCCAGAGCTGTGCAACTGTAACCACAATCAGTTTTAGGACACGTTTGTCACCCCAAAAGGAAACCTGCACCCAGGGGCAGTCTGGGCCTGTTTTAGACAGAAATGTTTTTAGGCAGGGCCTGTTTTCGGCAGCCTCTTCACGAGCAGACGGGAGCTACCCGAGGAAGAGTGTGGCACCCCTGCCGGACGGCAGGGACGGCAAGGCCTGGCAGCTGGGGATGGTGCCCAGGAAGGTGCCCAAGAAGACCCCGGCCCTCCCCGCAGGGCGCCTTGGCCACGTCTGCGCACACGCACAAGACGCACGTGCACCAGTCACCATTCATGCCCCGGCCGTTCCTGGCTTTGCGCTTTGGGTAATCCGGGTAGTTGGCGGAATGGCTTCTACACCGAGCATCCGTCCCTTGCCTGCCACCACTACGCCTCAGCATCCCAGGAATGGTCCCTGTAAAAGCTTGTTAGAGCCACGTGCCCATGGGCTGGCTAGCCAGGAAAACGAGTATGATCCCTGATTTATTACTTATTCTGGCCCAGAGCTAACTGCAGGAGACATCTGCTGTTTTGCCTGCCTGTCAATCACCCCCATGCTGGTTCCAGGCCTCAGCTTTCTTTCTGAGAACCAGCTCGCCCCTACACCCAGTCTGGATGGCCGGGTGGAGCTGAGTAATATACCTGGGCACATGACCCAGAGCCAGTCAGGGCTCTGTATCACTCCAGTCACAGAGATTGGCTCAGGGATGAGCATGTGACCCAAGCCTAGCCAATCAGAAGTCTGTCTCAAGATTACAGCTACATTTGTGAAGGCAAGAGCTATGGCGTTTCTGATCCAGTGGGATGCTGACCTAGGCTGCTGGGAGCAGGTTCCAGGGGTAGCAGAAGAGGGAGAAGGAGGGGGATCTGTTCACACTGAGCCCTTTTACCTTTCAGAACTATTTATATGCTCCCATAAATCCCTTTTATGTTTACTCCTATCAGGTGGTTTTCCATCACCTGCAAAATCTGCAAGGTAAGTTGAGTTGCTTGTTGCCTGAACCAAGCTAATGAGCTGCTTCTCACATGGGACCCATGAGACACAAAGAAAGGGTGGCTCCATCCCGAAATGGGGGAGTCCCCCTCCTCCCCCACCTCTCTAGGCTTGCTTCCCTGACCATGCCCGAAACTCAGGTCTCAAGTGCAATGGGGAACAGAATGAAAGAGGCTCAGTCAGACCAAGACAGGACACCAAGACTCCAGGAAGCCCACATGGCTCAAGTGCACCTGTCCTGAGAACACCGGCATGGCGCCGAGGGCCCCGACTGACTGCAGAGCTCAAGCTGAATTCATTTAGACAAACCATGGGGCATTCGCTGGGTGGCAACACTGAGCTCCTGAGTGGGCCCTGGGACGCTTCAGCGAAGAGAAAGGTAGAGTTCATTCCAACTTGGACCCCAACCTCCCCCTCACTATGCTCTCCTAGCTGCTGGTTTCCTAGCTCTTCCCTGGAGAGGGCCCAGTGTGAGGGAAACCCTCCAAGGCATCGGTCTCCCTTGCCCGCTTCCCAGAGAAATCAGCTCGAGGAGGAGCTGGGCAGGATGGAGGATAACATGTCGAGGATGAGTCAGTCACCAGGTTTGGTCACCCAGATCTGGCCACTGCTCCCGCAGTCATTCCAAAAGATGAGGCACCGGGCTGGGCCCACCACTCCCATTCCAGACTCCCCACGAACGCGGCATCCAGACCCCTGCCCAGGTCCCGGTGGTACAGCACAGGCCTGGAGGAGTGATGCCATCACAACGGGAGATTCCTGAGTGACATGTGCCATGAATGGGCCTTTCAAAACACTCTACGAATGCCCCCAAAAGGCACCAGAGTGTGAGCTACCTTGGAGTCCCTAGCTAGCTCAGTGTCCTACAGCCAAGAGATGCTCGATAAACATTGCAAAGAATGATGGAGAGGAACAGAGGGGACCCACCCACAAAGCCCTGCAACACACACTCAATGACAACACTTCCTGCTGTCCGGGCAGAGCGCGGGCTCTGGAAAAGCCCCTGCTAATGCGTTAGGCAAATAACGCTTGGCTTTGGAGCCCCACTCCCTCCCTCTATGCCCCTCCCAATTTCCTGGTGTGCCCACACTTACAGGCACCTGCACTCAGTCCTGCTTCCGTCTCTCTGCTACCCCCCCCACCCCTATCCACAGCTCAGCATCCTAGAAAAAGAGCTGACTGGAGTAACTTTTACTAAAGTGTCAGTGGCCATTAGAGACCCAGCATGCCCTGGACCCCTCTTAACTGAGTCCATCAGGAGGACGAAACCCCCAGGCCGACAGCGAGCCCACAGCGCAGGGAGAGAATTAGTAACCGGGATAACTTGCCAAATGCCCAGGCCTCACTGCCCCTCTATACACTACCTTGCTACCCTCCCCAAAGCAGAAAGATACTACTCACTAAAATTAAGGAAAGTCATGAATGTTACTTATGGAATAAGATTTTCTAATTCAGTGTTTCCCAAAGCCTGGGGCGTGTGTTGCCAAGTTTTATATGACACTCGAGTGTAACTATAGAGGACACCACATTCTCTCTCCATTCCCCTGATTAAGTCAAGGATTGAGTCTGGGTGAGACGCTAGTACCTCATTTTTAACGCCTCTCGAGATCAGCCTGTCTCCCACTCTACACGTGGACACACACAGGAGAGACTGCAGGCCTCGGGCCGGAGTCTTCGGTGAATTAGACAATGGAAACAAAGCTGTGTTTTTATACTACTTCCTTTTTCCTGCAATTCATGCTGGTTTTCCATGTAATATGGTGAAACAAAGTTTCCTCTTAAAATAAATACATATTTAAGGAAAAAACAACAACAACAGGGAGAGAGCCCTGGCTGGTGTAGCTCAGTGGATTGAGCATGGGCCTGTGAAGCAAAGGGTTGCCGGTTTGATTCCCAGTCAGGGCACATGCCTGGGTTGCAGGCCAGTTCCCAGCAGGGGACACATGAGGGGCAACCACACATTGATGTTTCTCTCCCACTCTCTCCTTCCCTTCCCCTCTCTCTAAAAATAAATAAATAATTAATTTAAAAAAAAACACAGGGAGAGAAAGAGATGGTTGATTTGAAGGGTGGGGAAATCGTCCCCCAGGAGGTACAGGACATGACAAAGATGGCGGGGACAGGACAGGAACGGGTGCGGCCTGAGAAACACTGATCTCCTCTCAGAGGCTACGGGCCACAGGACCGCGCACCTGAGAACTGCCATTCCCTGGCCCTTACCTCCAGGCTGTGCATTCAGGGTAAGGCCCGGCAGAGCAGAGGTCTGCCCTGAGAGATCGCTGGGCAGAAAAGGGAGAGGGTGGCAAATTATTTGGGGGTTTGGCAGAGGCCCCCAAATAATGGGTTGTTCCTTACTAGTCTCCACAGGGAGAAAGGGGGGTGGTTGGAAAGGTGCTAACTTCTTGTTTCGGGAAGGGACAAGAGTGATGTGCAAAGGTTCAAATGGCCGCCCCAAAAAGGAACCAGAACTACAGAAAATGGGTCCTGCAAGTGGCAAGCGTGGCTCTCAACTGAGTCCTGGGACCCTTATCACCCTGTAAGGGACCAACACTGTTGTCCCCAGAATCCACTCATCCTTCTAGGGACAATATCCCAATTTTCCTCTGGGGGACCAGTCCCACCCTGACACTCAACTTCTAGGCTTCCAGTGACAACCATAGGGGTGGGCACAAGGCTGAAGCCCAGCCAATCACTGTAGCAGTATGTTCTCTAGCTACAGTGACTGGTTCAGAGATGGGCATGTGGTCTAACAAACACCAATGGGGAAAGGCCCAGTGAGACTCTCGGAAGAGAGGAATGTGCCCTATTTTGCAGGGAAAGCTAGAAATAAAAACGTGAGCTTGGAGTTGGCAGATACCCCTACATGGAACCTGAGAACAGGCAACGCTGTGGAAGGCAGGGGTGAGAGACAGAGAGAACCTGGGTCCTGACAACACTGTCTGACCGCCTGGATTAAGCCTTACCTGAGGTCAGCCCCAAAGGATCCATTTCTTGATATGAGAAAAGAAATGTCAGTTATGTTGAGCCTACGTGAGTCAGGGTTTCTTGTGAACAAGAAACTGACCACACAAGTGACGCTGCCGCTGGAGTAGACGCACGTCCCTCCTCCCTGGGTCTGGACTGTCCTGGAGCCCCCCAAAGTCAGACCTCCAATTACCTTGAGCCATTGCTGATGAGAATACTCTCCCGGATTGTCAGGGTGCAGTAATACCACACGAGCAGGAAGTTAAAGACTTCGTCCGTTACCCTGGTGTAGAGAAACAGCCCCGGGCGGGGAGCAGGTGTGAGAACCAGGTGGCTGGCCCAGCCCCACCACAACAGAACAGCGGGCCAGGCCCAGGGCCGCCGCCCCAACAAGCCCCTGGAACCCCCGACGCCCAGGAAGGCAGGGCGGGCCTGGCCTCTCAGGTGTCTTCCCTGCACCGGGAATGCTCACCCCTCCTCACCCTTCCACCAGAATCCTCCGTGCCCTGAGGCTCCTGCCCTGACCACCCAGCCCACGCAGACTGTCTCCCTTCGAAATACGAAGTTTCTGGTGGGGTGGTGACAGAGGGACTTGCAGCAAGAAACCTAACGTGCTACTTAAAACCGTCTGCAGTGTCACAGTATAAACTGCCACTGTCCCCTTAAACCAGCTGTAAGTTTGGCTGCACATACAAAATAAGGTTTACGGCCTGAATTGTCTGTAAGAAGAACGTAAGAAGTCCCTGCCTCCCGTACAGTGACCACAGCCCGGAGCAGGCCTCGGAGGGGGACAGCGGGCAGCTGGGGCCGTGCGGAGCCCTGGTCAGAGTGCAGGGCTGGCAGGCACGCTCTGTGTGGCCCTGTCAGAGACCCGCCTGGCCTCAGCTTTTCCGTCTGTAAAATAGGAAGACTGGTCCCCTCCATGAGCTTTCCCAGGTGAAGGGTCCTGGGAGACAGCCCTCAACACACAAGTACCCCCGACCCATGGCCGGTCTCTCTGGTGCGACCTCAACCAAGGCTGTGTCTTTGACCCTGAAGGGGAAGCACCTTGGTGCCCCCCAGTGTCACACAGAGCCCTTCAGGACAGAAATGACTAGGGGGGAACCCCACCCCCACCCTCTTCGTGTCTATCCCAGACCTGGGAGAGCTTCCCCCAGGACTACAATGCCCTGGGGGAGGGGGGAATGGAAGGAAGACTCGACTTTACCAACAATAAAAGATGTTGGGAGGTGACCTTTCTGTGGTCGCAGACGACAGACTCTCAGCCCAAGCCTGTTGACCGTGGCCTATGAAGGCGGTCTCAGGAGGGTTAAGATCAGACTCTGAAAACCCAGGGCCTGAGTTTGAATCCAGACTCTGCCTCTTCCCAGCTGGAGAACCAGGGACAAGTTAGTGATTCTTCCCCACGGCCCCCACCTGCTCAACGGGGAGAGAGACAGCGCCTCCCCGCATGCAGGCTGCCTCGAGCATGCGCCGGGCCCAAGGAAGTGCTCGGAGCGGCACCTGCAGCCCAGGAAAGAACTGCGCATGTTCCCCATTATAACTCTGGAAGCACCACAAGGAGCCCGGGGTCGAACAAATGAGTCTCAGACGCAGAACTTCGAGAAACTCAAAGGCCTGCCTGACTTGGAGGTGAGACGGGGGTGGGGACAGGCCCCCCAGGGTGCAGAGTCACTTAGATCCTGACTTCTGAGCTCAGGCAAGAGACAGGCCCATGATCAAGTCTCAGTTACCAGGGGTATTTTTCACTGGTCCCTCCTCTGTGTTGTCAGTAAAAAGAGAAGCAAAAATGGTTTTAAGGCCCCAAGATGCTTGAAGTGCAGCCTCCGTCTGCTCTGCCGATGGTCTGAGTTGCTGCTGCTGCTCTAACAGGTGGGCTCATCTATTCTCTGAAGTTCGGAGGTCAGGGTCTGAAACAGGGTATGTGCGCCTCCTGGACAGAGGACAGGCCGGCTTCAGGAGGCAGGACGCACTCCTGGTCTCGTGGCCCCACACGGCTCTGACCTCTGCTTCTGCCGTCACGCCCCCTCCGTGGCTCTGACCCTCTCTCACAAGGCCGCCTGTGACGACCTGGGCCCCACCGGCTAAGCCAGGGTCTCCTCTCCATCTCTAGGTCCTGACTTACTCCCTCTGCGAAGTCCTCCTGCCCTGTAAAGTAACATATTCTCACGTTCTGGGGATTAGAACGCGCACGTCTCTGGGGGCCGTTATTCAGCCCGCCACACCAGGCCAGCACTGCCTGTTGGGAACCTGCAATGGTGCAGGAACTTTATAAGGACGAGCTTTCTGGAAACGCTACCAGTCCGACGGGACTGGTTCCTGTAGTGGGTGTGCTTACACACCTGTGCCTGTCTGTGGCTTCAGCAGCCAGGACCTGCGACTTCTTCTTGGCATAACCTGAGGGCCTTCTCAGGCCCCTGCGCTCCCCATGCTGGTGTGAGGGGCCGAGGAGGACAGCAGAGGGGGTGACCCCCTCTGGGAGGGGCCCTCAACTCCCCCAACTGGCTGCAGCTGGAGCTCAATGCCCCTGCTCCCTCACCCCTCCGGGGGGATAAGGGAGGCATGTTCCACACTGTCCCCCACCGCCCCACCCCACTCCCCAGAAGCACTGAGTTCCACGTGCTGTGGGACGCCCTCTCCTTGTCTCGTTTCCCATCCCCCCACCAGCATTTCTTAGGATCACTTCCTAAACAAAATACTGGCATTCGAATGCTTGTCTTGGGAATCTTTTCTGGGGGAACCCAAACTAAGACTGTACCACTTCCCATTTAACAGATGAGGAAACTGAGGTTCAGAGAAGGGGAGTGAATTGCTCAGGATCACACAGCTAATAAGCACTGGGGTGAGATTCGAACCCAAGCCCACCCATCCCAAGCTGAACTCCGACCCCCTCTTCCCCGCCTGCTTCAAAAGCAGATCCCGACAGAGGGTGACCTGGGCTTGGAGGCAGCCGAAGGAGGCCTCACGCTCTCCGGCCTCATCACTCAAGCCTCTCCAAGGTCATCCAAGGCCAGCCCAGTAGCTGCAAGTCCCCAACACTGAGTGCTGACCTAGTGAGTGGCAGAGCTGGACGTAGAGCCCCTCGCTCTGAAGGACTTGGGCCGTGCCCGGCTGCAGACTCAGGGGCACCAGGGAAGGGCCTTGGGGTGGGGCACCGAGGAAGGAAATGATCGAGAGGGGGCAACGTAAGGGAAGAAACGCCTGCTTCCTGGACACTCAGGATGCTCAGGATATTAAGCTGTGATCTTGCCCCTGCCTGCCGGGCCTTAGCACCAATGACGGCAGCAACGACGACTGCTGCCGCCAGACAGCGCTCGCGTGCCGGGCACTAGTCCGGACGTGACAGGTGTAACTGTCTGGTCTTCACAACCATCCTGCCAGGTGGACACTGGGGTGAGGTCAGGTTATGTGTCCGAGGTTAAGCAGCAGGGCTGGCTTCCCCGTGGGGACAGAGATGAGCGGCCTGCCCAGCCCTCTGCCCTATTTCTAACCCACAGAAGGTGCACTGGGTTGAACAGCGTCCCCTCCCATAATCCACATTCACCAAGGACGCGAACAGGACCCTACTGGGAACTGGGCTCTTTGTCGGCGTGGTTAGTTAGGATGGGATCACACTGGATTAGGGTGGGCCCTGGATCCAATGACTGGTGTCCTCGTAAGAAGGTCGTGAGAGAGACACAGGGACACACAGGGAAGGAGGCCGCAGGGCAAGACTGAGGCCAGAGAGGCAGAGACTAGAACGAAACAGCTCTGAGCCGAGCAGCACCAAGGACAACCAGCGACACTGGGAGAGGCGGGGGAGAACCCCCGCCTTCGGAGGCAGCCCAGCCGGCCGACACCCTGATTTCGGACCCTGGCCTCCAGGCGAGAGAGAACCTGCTTCCGTTGTTTTAAGGCACCGGGTCTGTGGCGCTGTGGGGCGACACCCCTTGGAAATGAACGCAGAGGGGTAGGAAAAAACGGAAACACGCAGGCCCCGGGGGGCCTCAGAATTGGACGACACACCCCACATCTGCCCGTCGAGGGCCCAAGAGGTCCCAGGGCAGGGAGCCTGGCTGCTCGCTGAGAACTTTTACCCCCTTCCAGAGGGGCGTGTGGGTGGGGCCTTTGCCCTGCAGGGAACCGGGCCAGGCCCCAGGCTACAGGCAAGCATGGGCCCAGGGTCTAAAAGGGCCTTTGTCTGGACATTCAAGTGGCCAGACCAGCAAGTGGACTCCCAGCCAAGAGCCTGCCAGGAAATAAACCCTTAACACTCAGGCCAAAGGCCCAAGCTGTGCTTGGCTGCCTCCCCCAGGGTAGAAAACCCAGGGCCACGGGGAAGAAGGAAACCCCCCTGGGGCAGAGCGGCTTCGGGCCCAACAGCAGCTGTTCCCCATGGGCCACTGGGCGCCACACCCTGGGCAGAGCCCTCCGCACACAGGGTTCACGCACTGAACTGTCACTACAACTCTGTGGTTAGGCACTGGTGTCGCCTGGTTTTACAGACGGGCAGACTGAGGTTTTGCCCGTGGTAACAGCCAGTCAGTCTCAAAGCCAGGATCAAACCTAGGCCATGAATGATCTGCCCCTGTCTCTTTCTTTCCTTCTTCCTTTTTTCCTTTTCTTTTTTTTTTGTTCCCTTTCTCTCTCTCTCTTCCTCCCTTTTTGTAATTGAGATACAATTCAGACCATAAAATTCACCCTTTTAAAGTATACATTTGATGTGTTTTTTTTGCGTATCACAGAGTTGTGCATCTATCACTACTATCTAATTCTAGAACATTCTCACCACTCCGGAAGAAACCCCACACCCATTTGCAGTCAAGCCCCCATCTCGCCCCCCCTCGGCCCCGGCAGCCACTGATCTATTTTCAGTCTCTGTGGGTTTGCCTGTTCTCCGCATCTCGTATAAACGAAATCATACAACATCTGATCTTTGATGACCAGCGTCTTTCACGTAACATACAGGGTGAGGCAAAAGGGGGCTTACATGTTGTTCATGTGAAAAATAATACAATAATTAATAAATAATAATCCAAGAATAAACTCTGGCCCCGGCCTGTGTAGCTCTCGGCTGAGCGTCATCCTGCAAACCGAAAGGTCACCAGTTCGATTCCTGGTCAGGCAGGGCACGTGCCTGGGTTGCAGGTTCGCTTCCCGGTCAGGATGTGTATGGAAGGCTGCCGGTTGAAGTTTCTCCCGCACATCAGTGCTTCTCTCCCTTCCCTTCTCCCTCCCTTCCCTCTCTCTAAAATCAAACATTTTTTAAAACAAAAGAAACTTTTGCGTACTCACAACTGTAAACCTGCATGTGCCCCAGTGTATAATGTTTTCAAGACTCACCTGTGTTGCCGCCTGCGTCAGGACTTTATTTCTTTTTGCAGCCAAATAATATCCCATTGCATGGCTACGCCAACCTGGGCTCTCTCTGTACTACGCTCTAAGGCCTGCCCAGCAGCCGTTCAGCGGATCCCTGTCGGACAGGTGGGCGGCGGACGGGACCGCTATTTCTCATGAGAAACGGCCCCTCCGTACCCACGCCTCGCCTCACGCAACACTGTGGATACAGGAGAGACCCTGGACCCCTCTCCCATGGGGTCCTCTCCACCCCCAGCACTGCCCCCCGACAACGCCACGCTGCGTTACCTGTAGAACAGGACAAAGCGACAGGCCACAGCACCCAGGAGCAGAATGATGGTCAGGTAAAGCTTGAACTTCTCATACTCGTCTTTATAGGCAAATCTAAGGCAACGGACACGCCCAGGAAAGGTCACGTAACTTCTACCACATTTATAGTAATATGACTATATTGGGGGCAGGACCCCTGCCCTCAGCAGATCCCTGACATCCCACAAGCAAAAGGAAAGACCCGGCCTTGAATGATTAACCAGGGAACGAGGACCGAGGTGTGGCTTCCTGCGCCCCTGCACTCCCGATGTAGGGCTCTGGGAGTGAGGGGCTGGGCAGGGAGCAGAGACAGGGGCCCCTCCCTCAACCAGCTACTGCTGTGGAGACACCAGGGCTCCATCTCCTAGAAACTGACAGGTGAACACGGTCTGCGCAATGGCATGGGGTGGAGCAGAGCCATCTCCCACAAGGAGCTGGCAGTCCCGCCCACCTGACATACAGACTTCCTGAAGGAAGGAAGGAGACCTAGCCCTGGGGGCTGCCCACGGGGGAGGACAGTGCCAGAAAGACCAAGAGCCAGAGTGCCAACTGCTAACGTTTATTCGTTCATGCAAAAATCCTAGCTTGGTCCCATCTCGTTTGAGTTGAAAGAGCAAAATGCCTGGACTCCGTAAAGCCAGGTGCGGGTGTGGGACACTCACTTGGCCTGGTTGCTGAGAAGGGTCACGTTTACGTTGCCAAGGACCAGATTCAAGTAGAGCCTGGAAGGAAAGACTGTGAGGCCACCATGTCCCCAAGAGCCCTGGCGGCTGCCCCAACCAAAAATAGTCACACTTAATAGTCACCACTGAGCGGCCAAGGTAGAACATAAGATGTTAAACTCAGCAATACAACAGGCCTCTCGCCGAGTGCAAATAATGACTAACCAGAGAGCGGGAGGACTGTGACACATGACACTCGTAACTGACCTGTTTCCCTCATTTCAGCCGATTTACAGACCTTATTTCCCAGCCTCTCTTGCAGCTACTGTGAGCACGTGACTAAGTTCCAGCCAACAAGGTAAAAGCACACATACAATATCTAGGTCAATTTAAAGCAGGCTCTTTTTAAAATTAATGCATAGCCTTTAAAAGTGCACAAGTCCTAAGTATGCAACACGATGAGTTTTTACATATTTATACATCCATGCAACGCACACCCAGATCAAAGAATAAAACACTTCCAGCCCCAAGAGGCTCCCACCTGCCGCCCTCCCCACCAATGACACCCACTGTCGTGTTCACGGAGAGTCACGTGAGGAAGCCTCCTTCTCTTTCCTGCCCTCACTTCTGCCCCTCCCCCTCAACCTCAAGCCCCGAGAGGAAGGCGGGAGTCACAGAGACCAGGTGTCCTAGGCCTGGGCGTCTGCCTGCAGCAGGGCACAGAGTGTTGGGGGCGAGGGGTGAGTTGCCAGCTCCTACCCGTTCTTCTTGGGCAGGTAGGCCTCCATGTCGAAGAAGAGGTTCTGCCGCTCCTTGATGTTGGCATCGATCTGCTGAACCAGCTCTGCCTCCTCCCGACTGGCATGGCGCCGGTACCTGTGGTGAGAGGCGAGGGCGCAGGAGAAGCTGGGGCGTCACTGGGACTGGAGTTAAGAACCCGGGAGCTCTGGGCACTGCCGTCCCATCCATCCATCTCGGTATTTCTTGCAAACTCACGTCTCCACCTGTACTCTCTGGGTCTGATGCTGGCTCCCTGCTAGCCCTCTGACCTCATGGGTGCCCTTGAACCTCTCTCCCTTATTTCCCATATCTAAAAAACAGGGATAACATCGAGCCTATCTCCTTGACAATACCATTGGGACAAGTGAGTGAAGGCAATTGAAAGTACCCAGGATCCGCCGTCTGCGGTGGAATCGCCGCCGAGATGCAGATTTTCGTGAAAACCTTTACGGGGAAGACTATCCCTCGCAAGGCTGAACCCTCAGATACAACAGAAAATGTGAAGGCCAAGGTCTCGGACAAGGAAGGAACTCCTCCTCATCAGCAAAGACTGATCTTGGCTGGAGGCAACTGGAAGAGGGATGTACTTGGACTGACCACAACATTCAAAAGGAGCCCACCCGACATCGTGCGTCGAGACTTCGTGGTGGGGCTAAGAAAAGCAGAAAGTCTGACACCGCTCCCAAGAAGAATGAGCACAAGGGGACGAAGGTTACGCTGGCTGTCCTGAAGCACTGCGACACGGATGAGTGGCAAAATCGGCCGCCTCCGTCGGGAGTGCCCTTCGCACGAGTGCGGTGCTGGGGCTTTTACCACCAGCCACTTCCACAGACACCATTGCGGCAAAGGCGGGCTGACCCACTGCCTCAGCAAACCAGAAGGTAAGTCATTGTGTACGGGTGAATTAAAGACATGAAGCAACATTAAAAAAAAACAAGTATTTAGAATAACACGTGACACACAGTACGAGCTCAGTGGAAATCTACTAGCAATATTCTTCTTCTTCCTATTCCTTTTTGTTTCCAAATGACTTTGATTTAATCACGGGAAGCAAACTAAGTGGAAAGCTTACGAGAGAGAAGCATTTTAGGTCAGAAAGCGCCTTTTGCAAACAAAGCTGGGACACAAAGTTCACTGGGGCTCTGCTCACTGCTCTAAAGGGGCAACCTGACGATCATGGGGAGGGGGGCAGACAGGAAGGTGCCTGAAAAGTGTGAGCAGTCAACTAATCAAGGTCGAACTGTTGTTCTTAGGTGATACAGAACTCTCACAACTAGAAAAACAAGTCACAGACACTCTTGGAGCAGGGGTCCTCAGCGTAAGAACCTACCTCAGGGGTCAACCTTCGAACCCAGGGCTTTTCAACGGGGGGGTACTTGGCAATGTCTGGGATCCTTTTGGCATCCAGTGGGTAGAGGGACTGATGCTGTTAAACCTTCTACGTCACACAGGACGGCCCCCAGCAGCCAAGCATTAGCATCAGTGCCAAGGCCAACAAACCTGAGACAGATCATAGTGAAGCCAATCTACAGGAACGCACAATTTAAAGGAAGAAAACAGATCCCCAAAACATCCTTTGAGCCCTAGGTCCAGTGATGCCTGAAGCCACGCCTAGGTTTTTTCCACCAAAATTTCCATTCTCTGCTCAAGACAGTTTTGAGCTGCATCTCTGACCCTGAGAACCAGGGGCGCTCTGCGTGCAGCCCCGCCTACCTCTGGAGCGTGCGCTTCAGGGTCTTCAGCCGCGTCTTCTGCTTGCTGATGGAGCTGCTGCACGAGGTCTGCAGCGCAGTCAGCTCCTCCAGCTTCTGCCTGTAGATCCTGTGCGTCTCCTGGGGGAGGGAGCACGAAAGGTCGTTTTTCACAGTTTGCTCATGTCAGGGGGCATGACTACAGAGGTCACAATCTGACAGCTAAAAACTGGCTTAGAAGACTGGGACTGGAATTGGGGAAAGCAACACGGCACACCCTTGTCTAATAAGGGACAACTATTGTTTTCTTTCCAGCCCAGGTTCCATCCTTCCTAATGGTGACAGCAACCAAATGTGACTTCGAGGGGCCACCTCTTTTCAACCCTAATCCAGATGGTTTGAGTCGAGTCGACAGTCTCCATGCAAGAGTGGTCATGTGATCCGGGCCTGGTACCTTCCAATCCTCTGGCAACTGACTGACTGATTCAGATGCAGACACATGGCTTGAATGAGCCAACGGAAGTCAGTCCTGGGACCCTGCTGGAAATACTGGTTTAGAGATGCTCTCTTTCCCCCGGGTTTGCTAACCTGGTAGCAGGACACTTAGGGCTGCCGAGTGGGGAGAGCCTGCCTAAGAATGACGCCAAACAGGATGGAACAGAATTGAGACATGGTAAGAGGCAGAATTCTGATAGCCTCGTTTCAGCCCTTGGATCTAACCAAGTCTGAATGGAATACTGTCCAATACTCTTGGTTATAGGAGTTCATAAATTCCTTTCCACTGAGGCCAGCTTGAACTGGGTTGCTAATCCTGGCCGTGAAGAGAGCCCTTACTGTGTCAGCTAAGAAAAGGTCACGCCTCCTCCTGTAAAGCCAACCGTCCCCACCCCCCGGCACAGTCACCCCGATGAACTCAATACCCCGTTCCTGGAAATGACCAAGCAGGGCCTCAGGGCCCGGGACACACTAACTACAAGAGACTGAACGTCCTGATGCTCCTGCCACGGCCCGCCTCCCCCAAATTACACCACGTGCTGAGAAATAAGCCCTCCTCTCTGCATCTGAAAATCGAAGACAAACGCCAACAACTGGAGAAACCAATGAAATTAAGTACAATACCCCAATGAATATATTTAAAGCAGTGGTTTTCTTGGCTGGTGGAGAAATGCACTATTTGGCAGAGGGAGAGCAAAAAGGGGATGGTCAATGCTAAGGCCAGAGCTTACGTCCTTGTGCCTGCCAAGCCGGCCCCTATGCACGCGGGCTAAGTCGGGAAAGAAGGGAGAGGTAAAGAAAGTGAAGTGAACAGGCAACAATTCGGGGCGACACTGAAGAACGCCGTGAGCGGGTCTCCCTCAGCTCCCAGGTGGGAGGGCTCAGTCCCTTGCATTCACACGGTGTCATTAGTCTCCACTTCCTGGGCCCCCAGAAAGGAAAATCCTGCCCCTCTTTTATTGAACTTTTATTTTTAAATAGTGTCCAACCTGCAAAAGAATTATAAGGGGAGTACAAAGGCCCTGACTGGTGTGGCTCAGTGGGTTGGATGTCATCCCACAAACCAAAAGGTCGCCAGTTTGATTCCCAGTCAGGGAACACGTCTGGGTTTGCAGGCCAGGCCCCTGGTTGGAGACGTGTGAGAAGCACCTGCTCGATGTTTCTCTCTCACACTGACTGATGTCTCTCTCCCTCACCTTCTCCCTCCCTTCCCCTCTCTCTAAAATATAAACAAATAAAATTTTAAAAAAAACAACAAGAGTACAAAGAACTCCTCTCTACCCTTCACCGAGATTCAACATTGCACCATGTTTCCTTCATTGCCGCTCCGTCCCAGGCAGTGTGGGGTGTGTGTGTGTGTGTGTTCTTTTTCTGCATCAGGCAACAGGAATTTATGGCTCACAGGTCAAATACAGCCACGTGATTTTGTAGGAACAGTAAGCTAGAAATGGGTTTTCCTTGGTTGAAAAAAAATCAAAAGAATACTTCATGACATGTGAAAGTATCTGAAATTGAAATTTCAGCATCCATAAGTAAGGCTTACTGGCGCACAGCCACGCCCACTCATTTGCATATTGCCTGCCTCTCGGGGAACTAGGAGAGCAGAGTGAGTACTTGTGACAGAGACCATATGGCCCGCAAACCCTAGAATCCTCACTACTTGGCTTTGGCATAAATTTGCCTACTCCTTTTCTAAACCGTTTGGGAGTTAGCTTCTTTAGTTAGCTTCTTTAGATAGACAACATGCTTCTTTACTCCTAAATACTGCATTGTGTATTTCCTAAGAACAAGGAAATTCTCTTACAGATCCACAGCACAGTGATCGAATACAGACAATGTGACCTTGACACAACACAGTACCATGACCTCAAATACCATCCAGATTCATACCTGGCTACCTGCCTACCGACGACAGCAAGTCCCCTAGATTCCGGGCCCGACTCGGTCCCCTGCGCTTCACTGCTGTTCACATCTTGGTAGCCTCTCTGGTTCTTTCTAGAGGAACCGCCCCTAACTTTTCTTCGTCTTTCTTGATGTCAGCATTCTTAAGGAGTTCCATCTAGTTTTGGGAAATATCCTCCCAGCTGGGTTTGTCCATTGTTTCTCCATGGTTGAATTTTAGTTATGCATCTAGATCAAGAATGCCACTAAAGGGACACTGTGCCCTCAGTGTCTCCAATTAGGAGGGACGTGGTATCTGTGACATTAACACTAACTGCTCAGAAAGGGTGGTATCCACCCACTTTCACCATTGCACAGTGACGGGCTTTGTCTGTAATTGGTAAGGAATCTTCGGAGAGACAGGCTGCATTCCATCACTTCCGAACTCTGCGGTGCCCATCAGCCCTCCCCGCACAGCCAGCACCTGCCGGTATTCAAGGAGACCCCCCAGACCTGGAGTGGGGAGGCAGGGGGCAGAGCAGCCCTGACTGGACTGCAGCCTTCAAGAAGGCGGGGCCGGCCCCGAGGCTCCTGGAAGATAAAGAGGTGTGTCGCCTCCTGGCCCTCTAGGGGCTGGGTGCCACCAGCGGGAGATAAGACCCAGACTGCAACATCAGCAGCCAGATGCTTACCAGGCCCTCTTCAGTTTTTAATTTCAAAGTAAAACATGAAGACATTACCCTTGTTAAAAATTAAAACACTACAGCTGCAGCTGGAGTCGGCTTCGAACACACCCCCATCCTTCTCCCCGTCCCCAGAAGTAACTACTGTTACTAGTTTCTTCTAGATATTTTCCTCTATATTCTTCCAGACTATATTCTATGTACCTATGTATTTCTGTATTTTATATAGACCTATTTTTTTTTAAATCCTCACCTGAGGACGTGCTGTTTTAGAGAGAAGGGAAGGGAGGGAGAAAAACATTGATGTGAGAGAGAAACCTCTCACACCTCTCATATTCGCCCCTACTGGGGACTGAACCTGCAATCAAGGCATGTGCCCTGACAGGGAATCAAACCCATGACCTTCCAGTTTATAGGACAGTGCTGTAACTACCCGAGCCACACCAGCCAGGGTGACCTATTTGTGTACACACACACATGTGCGCGTGCATAATGAAAAATACACTGTTGCAAAAACTAATTGCCCCTAACATTTATTTTCCTTTGCATCATTTTAGCAATAGACCCCACAAAGTTATAGCTGGGCATATGGCCTACAGACTACATTTCCCAGCCTCCCTTGCAGCTAGGGGTAGCAGTATGACTAAGAGCCAATGGGATGCAAGCAGAAGTGGTGTGTAGAAGTTCTGAACCACATTTTCATAAGGAACTGCTTGGCCTCCACTCTCCCTTTGTCTGGCTGGCATATGGCAACTATGCAATACGAATGGCAAAGCCCACTGTACATTCCCAGCCAGACCAACCTGAATCCCAGGTGACCTCATAGGAGAGAGCTTCCACCCTGCGATGGTTTAAAAACTGATTGCCCATCCTTTAGCACTCCTCGTGCAGGGAGGTGGGGGTCTCTGTTCCCTCCCCTTAAATACAGGCAGTCTTGTGGCTGGTTTGACTCCCCAACCCCCCAAAAAAGGGCAAAAGTGACACTACACAATTTATGAGAATAAAAGCATGGAAGGACACACAGCTTCCCTCTTGTCTGCTGAAACACTCAGTCTTGGAGCAAAAAGTTCAACTGCCCTGAGGCCACCATGCTGTATGGAAACTCTAACCCAGGCAGACACTCTGACCGAGAGTCCCAACTGGAATGACAAACCTTCTTGTCATTCCAGCCCAGGCACCAGAGGGGTAAAGAAACCTCCAGGTGACTCCAGCCCCACCCATCCTGGCCACTCTTGAGTCTTCCCAGCTGGGGACTCTGGCACCACAGAACACAAACTATCCATACGATGCCCTGTCTCCATTCCTGACTCACAGAACCTACGAGCAAAAAGCAATTATTGCTGTTTATGCAGCAGCGGATAACTGGAATACCCCTCACCCTGGACCACACCTCCCTCTGGACTGTTATGAGAGAGAAGATACCTCATTTCAGCCTTTTCATTTGGGGATTTTTCTGTTATAACAGCATAGCTTATACCCTAAAGCTTATCCAGAACTTTTGATTTTTAGAAATATATTAATAGTATCAGAATGATCCCTCAACTTTCTTTTCTTACTCAATAATATGCCTTGAAAATCCACCCATATAAGAATAGATTTACTTCATTCTTTTTTAGTGCTGTGCAGTGTTTCATGCTGTGCACACACTACAGTTTGTTTAGGCCATTCCCCGACGGCTGGATACTTAGGTTGTTTCTAGCCTCTGACCGTAACCAACAACGCACTGTTGATTAATACCCGTGGCAGTGCCTCCCTGGGCACACACGCCAGCACCTCTCTGGGGAAGATTCTCTCTGGGGAGAAGAAATGGAATTGTGGGTCAGAGGGCGCAGGCTTGTTTTTAGTTTTAACAGATCTTGGCAAACTGCCTGCACAGTGGCTGTACCAATGTACAGTCCCACCCACAGCACACGACAGTTGTGCACATCTCACCAATACTCGGTGCCATCAGCATTTACTTTCTTACGGGCACTTTCCTAATGCTCCTCCTCTGCTCCACCCCAAGACAGGAGCCTGGGCAAGGACGGGAAATCCATGGGCTTTCCCATACTTTTATTTCCTGGTACGTGGAGTCATTTTTGA